CTTGGGGAGTGGGCAGTTTCCAGGGAGCCTCCTGCCCTGGGGGTGCCCACGTGGCGCTGACCCTGCCGGTGGACACAGCAGGTCTGAGAAGGGGCAGCCAGCTCGTGCCGGGCCTCAGCCCTGGTGAGCTGACGGCTGGCCCCTGCCTGGCCCCGTGTCTCAGAGCAAAGGCTGCGCCCCTCCCCCGGGATGGGTGATTTTGCCATTGCTTGTCCGTTCCTTGTCTCTTTGTATTTACTTGAAAAGCAGAGTTGGGAGAGGCAGGGCTCTTCAGTCCACGGGCTCACTCTCCAGATGGCCACAGCAGCCAGGGCTGGGCCAGGCTGAAGACGAGCCAGGAGCGCCGTCGGGATCTCCCAGGCTGCTTTTCCAGGTGCATTAGCAGGGAGCTGGATGGGAAGTGGAGCAGCCGGGACTTGAACCGGTGGCTTACCCTGCTCGGCCACAGTGCCGGGAGCACAACCCGAGTGCCGGCACCCGGCCCTGGCACACCATGTGAGCAGCCCCGAGGATGGACAGCTTGGCCGTGAGACAGGTCCAGTAGTTCCTGTCCTTGGCCAAACAGCGAAAGGCCGTCCACCACCCTGGGCTGGGGCAGCCTGAGGTCAGATGATGCCGCCTCCGTTCCAGGCTCCTGCAGGCTCTGCTGCTGGCTGAAGACGGGCTGGGCCCCATCGCACCCCTCCCCGCGCCCCTTCCTCCTTGGTGGGGCTGGGTCCCCCAGGTGGGGGCAGGGCCCCCAGGCCTGGGCGATGGCTGGGCGGCGCCTTCCCCTCGCAGGGTTGGGGTGAAGTCACAATAAAGCGACCTTCCTGCTGGAGCGGCCCCAGTGTTTTCCTTTGGGGTCCGGGTCCGAGTCCTGGGGAGGGGGGCCGCGGGAGGCCGGGGTCTGACCCCGCCCCCGTCTCCCCAGCCACAGCCTGCTGTCAATCAGCCGTACTTTGCAGATCAGGGGCATTTAGGGGAGGAGTTTCTTCCCTAGATTTATTGTATTTGACAGGTAGAGGGAGTGGGACAGAGCTGTCTCCATCCGCTGGTTCCCTCCTCAAAAGGCCACACGGCCAGGGCTGGGCCAGGCTGGACCAGGCGCTCCATCCGGGTCTCCAGCATGGGCCCAGGCCCTTTGGGGGGACCTGGACCAGAAGTGGAGCAGCGACCACGTGGTCTTGGGGGCGTTCCCAGAGCCCGTGTTGTGCTGCAGGGGGCAGGCTGCTGACCCGTGCTGGTTCAGATCCCGGCTGCTCCACTTCCAATCCCGCTTCCTGCTGATTCGCCCGCAGTGACCGAGGGTGGAAGCTCGCTCGCTCTCTCCCCCTTTCTATTTAACTTAAATACATGCAGCGAATCTTAAAAGTGACTGGTTGGGGCCGGCGCCGCGGCTCACTAGGCTAATCCTCCGCCTTGCGGTGCCGGCACACCGGGTTCTAGTTCCGGTCGGGGCGCCGGGTTCTGTCCCGGTTGCCCCTCTTCCAGGCCAGCTTTCTGCTGTGGCCAGGGAGGGCAGTGGAGGATGGCCCAAGTGCTTGGGCCCTGCACCCCATGGGAGACCAGGAGAAGCACCTGGCTCCTGGCTTCGGATCAGCGCGGTGCGCCGGCCGCAGTGCGCCGGCCGCGGCGGCCATTGGAGGGTGAACCAACGGCAAAGGAAGACCTTTCTCCCTGTCTCTCTCTCTCACTGTCCACTCTGCCTGTCCAAAAAAAAAAAAAAAAAAAGTGGTTGGGAGGATGTACTCAGCTGTGGGTTCCGCCAGTGCCCGCTGAGGGCTGACAGCGAGCGCAGGGCAGGGTGGCGAGCGGTGGCTGTGGCAGGCGGGGTCCCGCCCCGGGCCTCGGCCCCTCTGCCGGTCCTTCGCAGCCGCGTGCCCGGCGATGCCCAGCCTGCAGTCACGGCTCCGCTTAGAGCCCTTAGCCCGGCGGCCACGGGGAGGCTGGGGGCTTCTGCACTGCCTGCTGCCCCGTATCTGAGGGCAGGACAGAAGCGTCCACTCCAGTGGGGCCCCCGCAGCCAGAACACGCAGGCTCTCCGCACGCCCCACCCCCGGCTTTGGCCGCGGTGCAGTCCGGACAGGGAGCGCGGCTAGTCTTCCTTGACGCCCCTGACGCCCACGCGGCGCGGGACGACGCGGCCCGCCTGCAGCTTTAACCCCCGGGCCCGGGGAGACAGCCCCGGAGGAAGCGAGTCCTCGCTAGGGCTGGTACCCTGCGGGGCCCGCACCGCGGGCGGGGCGGGGCCTGATTTCCGCCCGCCGCGCGGGGGCGCCGCTCTGGCCGCCGCGTCTCGGTGGCTGGCCTCCGCCCGCCGCGCGGGGGCGCCGCTCTGGCCGCCGCGTCTCGGTGGCCGGCTGCCTTCTCCGAGACGCTCGGAGGGCTTGGCCGGACCCTGGAGGCTTGCGGCTGCGGTGAGTGGCGACCCGGGCGCCGGGCTGAGGGAGGCAGCCGCCATGCGGGCTGCCGGGGACAGCAGGACGGGCCGCGTCGGGCCTGGAGCCGCGGGCCGCGCTGAGCCGCCCGCGGAGAAGATGGCGGCGCGGGGGCGGCGGGCCGGCCGGGGGCCGCGGGCCTCACGAACTGAGCCGTGTGAGCTGGGGGGCGGGCGGACAGAGGCCGGCCCGGTGCCCCTCCCTCCGGTGGGTCTCGCGGCCTCCGAGCAAGGCCGCGGCCTCCCTCGTGGTCCGACTCTGCCTGCCGACGGCGGGAGCGGCCCGGAGAGCCGCGCCTGGACCCCGCCCTGGCCCCTCCGCTCGGCGGAGGCTGGCGGGTCGACCCGGCCGGGGCCGCACGTTTGGCTGCCGAGACCCTGGGCGGAGAAGGCCGCGCCTGGACCCCGCCCTGGATCCGGGCGTTGCTCCTCCGGCCGGGGCCGGGGGTCCCCGGCGCAGACGCGGGCCGCGGGCGCAGTGTTGGCGCCAGGGCTGGCAGGGGCCGCGGGTCATTGTGTGCACGGCGGCCCCCGCCTTCCCGTGAGCACAGGGGCCCCTCGGAACTCGGGCTCCTGCCCCGCGCCGTGCTCGGTGCCTGTGGCTGCTTTGCTGTCTGAGGGTAGTGTGCCCTCGCTTCTCCTGGTCCCTCCGCTGACCCTGTTGGTTTTGCAGGTTGGGCCGCGTCGAGCGCGGCGGTTTGAGTCCTGGTGACGGCCAGTCCCGGCCCGGCCCCGGGCGGTGGGGAGGGGCGTCGGGTGGGCCTTTGATCTCGTTTTCTTGGCTTCGAGGTTTGTGGGTCCCGAGTCTCTGGGCTTGGGTCCGCGCTTAAGCGGTGCCAGGTGCTGTGCCTGCACCGGGGCAGCTGTGGCCCTGGAAGTCCGCTAAGGATGTGCTCCCTGTGTCGTCTCCTTTTCGCGTGTCGTAGTTTAGAATTTAGGAAGTTGGGTCCCTTCCGGTGTAGCTGGCGGCGCTCTCCCCACGGCCGGCGAGAGGGGCTGGCTCCATCGGCGGGTCTGAGTGCCGGGCGCTGGGCTGCGGCCGAGTCTGCTGCGCGCCGGGGGCTCTGGCTGGAACTAGGCGGGCCGCCGGGGGGGGGGGGGGCTCCCCTCGTGCGGACTTGGAGCGGTTGGCCGCCGGCGGGGCTCCCCTCGTGTGGACTCGGGGAGCGAATGCTCGTTTTGGTGTCGGGTTTAGAGCCCCGGGTTTGCTCTCCGTGCTGCTGGACGTCCGAGTGGTGTAGACACCTCGATAGAGCAGCGTTTTCCCCAGAGTGAGGTTGTTGAAGAAAGCGCTTGCTGGGGGTGGGGGGGGTGGAACCGGGGGTGGGGGAAGCGCCTCTGAGGAGCCCAGAGCTGAGCTGGGTGAGCAGGGCTGGTGTGTCTGTCGCCTGTCACTCTGCTGCAGGCTCCTCCCACAGCAGTGACCGCAGGGACGCACTGCCGTCCGTGCTGATGGAAAAGGACTCCGCCTGCCGCTGGTGGCCCTCTCGCCCGAGTTAGCCCTCCCCCCTGGCGGGGCCGCGGGGTCGGAGTGAGCCTCTCCCCACGCCCACCCAGCTCCCCAGGCCCGCTGTCCTGCTGGTGGGGACTGGGCTGTGATGACCGGACTGTGGAGGTCGTCAAGGGAGCCGAGGTCCAGATGACAGGGAAGTGCAGCACAGGGTGGCCTTGTGCTGAGTCTGGCCGGGTAGACCCTGGCCAGGGACCCTGCGTTTTCCCTCCTTCCCACCTGTGCTGAGTGACGGGCGTTGCTGCTTTTGGCTGGACTCTGTCACACTCTTGCTTCCTGAGCAAACTGGACGAGGGCGGTTCCGGCTGGAATGCAGATATGAAAATTCTTCCCTTTGGATTTTCTGTGTCCTGAGGCTCGGGGGGAGGGGGGAGGAGCTGTGCCCTTCTCATCCCCCCAGCAGCCCTCTGGAGGTGGTGCCCTTACGGCTCCCCTGCAGCCTGGCGGGTGACCCCTGCCCTCTGCGGCCGCTCTGCTCCCCACCCGGGAGGCGTAGACATTACTCCTTAAACACCTTGTAGTAGTAAACCCGTGACACCGACGTGAACTCTGGCCTGCCTGAGCGGTCTGGTGGGAAAGGGGCCTGTTTCCTGCCTGGCGGCAGGTGCATTCACGTGGAGGCGCTGCTGTTGTAGAGAGCTCCGATGTCTGCTGGGGGGGGGGCAGGGAGAGCGCTGGGGAGCTAGTGTGCTGGCGGCACCTGGGGCCACGCCGAGCCAGCACCCTGGGAAGGGGGTTCCTTCTGGGAGGTTGGAGGTGTCTGAACTGTGGTGACTCAGCGAAGTCTTTGCTGAGTCAGAGCTGGTGTCCCAGGCACACCGGCCCCTGAGATGCGAGGGCTGGGGGTGAGGAGCGCTCCCAGGTGCTGAAGGGGACAGCGCTTTAGCGCGTGACCAGCAGGTAGGGTGGCCGTGCAGAGCGGGCAACGCTCAGGATCAGGGTGGAGCCCCAGGACCCAGGGACCCGGGCCTTTGTTCTTGAGCACCCCACCTCTGATGGGCCACGGCTTCCTTGTTTTTTCCTTCCTTCCTTCTTTCTTTCTTTCTTTTTTTTTTTTTTTTAAGATTTATGTATATATTTAAGAGTGGGGGGGGGGGCGGATTGTCCATCCCCGGGTTCACTCCCCAGATGGCTGCAGTGGTCTGGAGCCGGAGCCTCCTCCAGGTCTCCCACGCGGGTGCAAGGCCCAAGGACTTGGACCATCTTGTACTGCTTCCCCAGGCCACAGCAGGGAGCTGGATGGGTAGAGGAGTGGCGGGACTCCCATGGTGTCTTAAGGAGGGTGCGGCTGTCACTGGAGGGTGACTCCCGCTCTTGTAGGAAGCTGTTGCCAACTCCTCACGCTGTTGGTGGGAAGGTGATGATGGTTCGGCCGTTACGGGGAGCACAGGTGTTCCTTAAGAGCTAAAAATGGAGCTGCCCTGTGATCCGGGAGTCCCACTCCTGGGTGCAGCACCGTTCACACAGCCAGGTCCACCGGGATGTGCGGGTGCAAGGGCCACAGCTGTCACGTGGGTGAGGCTGGAGCTGTCGGTTCAGTGGATTGAGCACACACGGAGACAGTGGCTGTGTGCCCTCAGGTGGGAAAGCTCACCGCAGGAGGCCGTGTGTCCCGGTTTGCCTTCATCCAGTCCACATGGCCACACCTGTGCCCTGACACAGGGGACTTTTAGGTGTCGGTTACAAAAACTCTTCAGGTGGGAGAGCATCCATCACCCTGGGATGTAGGATTTGGGCCAGCACGTCTGTAAACTGTGTTTTCCTACTTGCCGAGAGGCGAGATTAGGGGTGGTGTCTAATCATTCAAGAACAGGGGGCGCCTCTCCTTTTTCCTCCTCCTCTTCACCTGTTCAGTGAAGTCCTTGCGAGCTTTGGGGAGGTGGCTTCCGGCCCGCGTCGCCCTCAGAGGTCACTGGTCCTGCCCCGGGCGAGGAGGGTTGCTGTTTGTGCACTTACCTTAGGTGGTTCAAGCACAGACGTTTCTCGGGAGAAACTTGGTGGGCTTGCTCCCAGGTGTCCATGGTGATGCTGCTGGCTCCTGAGGACGGAAGTGTGGTCCCGCAGTGCGGGCAGGGGTCGAGCACTGGGCACCTCGGCCCCCTGTGCGCCCAGCCCAGCATTTGCTGCTGCAGACCTGCGCGGTTCTGTTGGAAGGAGGCGGAGTTGGCTCTGGAAATCGTCCCTCCTTGGGGTGTCACGTGGAACTTCCAAGCATATTCCTAGGAGCGACTGTCAGTGAAGACTGCGTTACAAGCGTCTTGTATTGGCTCACTCTTTTTCTTTAATTTCTTGCAGTCTAAGACAGCTTTTTTAAACACTATGCTTTCACGCTTGTCTTTCCCCGCACGAGTGGTGTTAGCACGTCTGGAGTAACAAGGCCGCGGCGGCTAGACTGCGTCTGTGGCCTCTGCCCTCGCTGTGGTGAGGGAAGTCGAGAAAGCGGTCCAGGTGTGCTGGGTTCTGATGGCTTGTGGGGTGGGGACGTGGGGCCAGGTCGGTGGTAGCCTGCTCTGATGCGGCAGCACCACCGCACGTGTCCGGTGTGCTTCTCCACGGCTTTCTTGGGTGCAGACAGCTGCAGGAAACTGCCTCTTGTTGAGACTCGGGGGACACCGTGCATGGCGCAGTGGTCAGGCCACCGCTTGCAACACCACTGTCCGGTATCAGTGCTGGCTGCAGGCTCAGCCCCGCTTCCAGTCCAGCTCCACTGAGAGTCCCTGGGCCCCTGCGCCACGTGGGAGACCTGGGCGGAGCTCATACTGGCCCAGACCTGGTTGTTGTGGCCATTTAGAGAGCGAACCAGTGCCTTGTTTCTCTCTCTTGCTCTTTCAAATAGAAAAAATGGAGTACTTGTCTTTCAGACAGTGGAGGGGGTAGGTTCACTGCAGATGCAGAGGGGAAATCCGGCCGTCTTGTGTTAAGCCAGAGATCTGCAGAATTATAAGGCAGTCTCCGGTTTTTGTAGATTAATTTATTTGAAAGGCAGAGAGAGACAGGTTTTCCTTCACTAGTTCACTCCCCAAATGGCCACAATGGCCGGAGCTGTGCCGATCTGAAGCCAGGAGCTTCTCTCGGGTCTCCCATTGGGTGCAGGGGCCCAAGCACTTGGGCCATCTTCTGCTGCTCTCCCAGGCCATAGCGGAGAGCTGGGACTCAAACTGGTGCCCATACGGGGTGCCGGCACTGCAGGTGGCAGCTTTATCTGCTACGCCACAGCACTGGCCCAGTCAGCCCCACTCTTAACACAATGTTTGTTACTGGTTTTAGAACTGACATTACTTTTATTTAAAAAAAGTATTAGTGTGTAATGGGTTTTTGTATTTTAAATTTAAATTTTTGGAAATATCAGTATATGTTCCTCATAAACTAAAGCTCTTTGGAGTCCTCAACTTTTATTTTTAATTCCTTCATTTGAGAGACAAGAGTGAGGAGGGGAAGGAGGGTCCCGTCTACTGGTCTGCTCCCCAAAGGCCACAAAGACCAGGGCAGTGGAGAGCCGGGGACCCAGTCCAGGTCCATACGTGGGTGACAGGAACACGTCTGCCTGCAGCCCCCAACTTGAGACAGGACACAGGCGTTCAGTGAAGGGGCGCCCCCGGTGGGCCCCAGGGTCTGCATCCTGTGACCTCACAGGCCCCAGGGTCAGAGCTGTCCAGGATGGGGGTGGTAATCACAAGTTGTCCGTACTTGAGTCAGCAGGAGCGGTTTTCAGCTGAGCAGAAACTGTGCTCAGAGGCAGAGCGAAGTCAAGTCAGGTCCCTACAGTGCTGCTGGCCTGGTTCCCGGTCCCTACAGTGCTGCTGGCCTGGTTCCCCGTCCCTACAGGGCTGCTGGTGTGGTTCCCGGTCCCTACACGCCCGCTGGCGTGGTTCCCGGTCCCTATACCGCTGCTGGTGTGGATCCCGGTCCCTACATGGCTGCTGGTGTGGTTGCCGGTCCCTACACGGCTGCTGGCCTGGTTCCCGGTCCCTACAGGGCTGCTGGTGTGGTTCCCGGTCCCTACACGCCCGCTGGCGTGGTTCCCGGTCCCTACACGGCTGCTGGTGTGGTTCCCGGTCCCTCCACGGCTGCTGGTGTGGTTGCCGGTCCCTACACGGCTGCTGGCCTGGTTCCCGGTCCCTACACGGCTGCTGGTGTGGTTGCCGGTCCCTACACGCCCGCTGGCCTGGTTCCCGGTCCCTACATGCCCGCTGGCCTGGTTCCCCGTCCCTACAGGGCTGCTGGTGTGGTTCCCGGTCCCTACAGTGCTGCTGGCCTGGTTCCCCGTCCCTACAGGGCTGCTGGTGTGGTTCCCGGTCCCTACACGGCTGCTGGCCTGGTTCCCGGTCCCTATACCACTGCTGGCATGGTTCCCGGTCCCTATACCGCTGCCGGTGTGGTTCTCTAGACGCTGTCTCTCTCCATTTGCGTGATTGCAGTTTTGGTGACATTTCTGTGACATATGGAATTAATGTGTAAAATTAGAAATTTTACGTAATTTGTTTTACTTTTGCCTTATGTGTACTTTATTTTTCTTTTACTTTTGTCTTGATATCTGTGGTTATTTACAAGATAACTAGAATTTTATAGTTTTGTGTTGAGAAAATTATGAAGACAATTTTGCAGATACGTAGCTATCCTGAAAGTCCTTTTTCTCATCATAACAGAAATGATTACATTTGACAGTTTCAGTTGTTCCAGAACTCAGATGCAGAGTCCCTTAGTTTTCAGATTCACATATGAATCGCAGTTTTAAAAGGGGCACCTTTATTTCCGAGAACGCCTTCATCTGGTTGCTTTCATCTGCAAGCGCTCAGTGTGGTGTCGAGAGCACAGGTTTAGCTGTGTGAGAGAGAGGCCTGCATCCCATTTCCCAGCGCCGGCTGCTCTGTCCTTCTGATCCGGCCTCCTGTTGCCCCGCAGGCGCAGCAGGCGACGGCCCAGGTACTTAGGCTCCTGCCATTCGTGTGGGAGCCCAGACACAGCGCCTGGCTCCTGGCCCTGGCACAGCCCAGCCCAGGCTGTTGCTGGGGGAGTGAACCAGCGGGTGGGATGCAAGAGAGTGAGCTTTAAAACTTTATTTGAAAAGTAGAGTTAGAAGGGGAGCGAGCGAGCGAGAGAGAGAGAGAGGGGTCCTCCATGCACTGGTTTGACCATCACTTCCTCCCCACATGACTGCAGCCCTGACCAGAGCCAGGAGCTGCGTCGGGACGCCCGCCTGGGAGCTGGGGCCAAGCGCTTGGGCCGTGCTGTGTTAGCGGGGAGCTGGATTGGAGTGGAGCAGTCAGGACTCAAACCTGCGGCCCCGTGGGATGCTGGCGTTGCAGGTGGCGGTTAAGCCCACCGCACCACAATACCAGTCCCTGAAACCGTCTTTGAAAAAACACTCGGGCCAGTGCTGTGGCGTACTAGGTCAGACCTCCTGGCGGCTCCACTTCTCATCCAGCTCCCTGATAAGGATCCTCGCTAGGGAAGGCACCAGAGGATGCCCCCAAGTGCTTGGGCCCCTGCACCCGCCTGGGAGACCTGGGAGAAGCTCCTGGCTTTGGATCAGCCCAGCTCCGGCCGTTTGTGGCCATTTAGGGAGCAGGCCAGCAGATGGAAGACCTCTCTGTTTCTAATGCTGCCTCTCAAATAAATAAAGTCTTTTAAAAAATGTTCAGTGTTGTGAAATACAAAGTTTATATTCAGCCTCTTCTGAATAATTTGAGCCCTTGAAGCAGTCATTCAGACATCGGCGTCGTTTGGCTGATCAGTGAACTCTGAAGTCTAAATGGTTGCTGTCCCTTTAAAGTGAGCCGCGTCAGAATGTGGGATTGTCCTGCCGTCACCTGGGAGACCACAGTTAGAGGGGAGGCAGTTGGAGAAGAGCAGGCAGGGTCCGAGGCAGGCTCTGGCCTGCAGAGGGTCACAGCTATCAGGCCTGCGGACCTGGCGGGCGCACAGGCCCGGCGTGTGCGGGTGGCTGTGTGGAGCACGCTCACAGACCCCACGCCACGCTCGCGTGAGGTAATGATGGGGGTCGCTCCTCCTTGTTTTTTTCTTGGTTTTTAATTAAAGTGATGACATAGTTGCAGTATAGAGAATTTTTAAGAATTACGTTCGTGTATAACTTTATTGAGCTTTTTCGTTTTCTGACTGATTTCCCTGCTCAGTGTTGGGTTTTACATCTCAAAAGTAGGCCTGGCCCCTGCTGTCCTGGGACGCCGTCCCTCGTCCCTCGTGGGGACTGGAGGCCAGGCTGCACTCTTGTGACCCTGGCGTTTTCGCCGTCACCCCGCCGTGCAGAGGAGGAGGTGGGGCTCGTCCATCAGCCCTGTCGTGGGCTCTTGTGGTCACTGAAGAGCTATGAAACGTTTTTCATTTTCTTGTAGGAGCAGTTGTTGGAAATACGAATCCTGTTCCTTGTGCACAGGCTGGAGGCCTGGCCCTCTCTAAGAGACTCGCCGAGGTTTTGCTGCATTCGGGACTTCTGGGAAAAGTGTCCAGGCGCTCAGCGTTGGGCAGGTAAAGTATTGCTGGTCTTACATGGTGGGATAAAGTTGTGTTTTCTGTGTCTGAAGTGACATCATTTGCACTGGGCACATGTGGCATTCGTGTTTATCTGAAGCGTTCTCAAGGTCAGTCGGAGGTGTTCAGGTGAGTGCAGGCGTCTGAGAGCCAGTGCCCGCGACTGCGCTGCCCCGGGGAGAACTGAGACACCCCCCCCCCCCCCCCCATGCACGCTCCACTTGGCCGAGACTGAGACATCTTCAGTAGAAATTTAAAGTTGCTTGAAAATCAGGACTTGATCCTCTTCGAGACAGCTACAGCTGTCAAATTGCCACAGAAAGCTTCCTGGAAGTGAAATTTGTATTGGGAACGAGCAGTTGTGATCAAGGTGATGAATGAGCCCTCTGCCGTGTGTCTGGGTCTCACATGCAGACCCACAGCCCCCTCCCCCACAACCCCATCTGCTCCCACCCTGGCGGTGCTGCTCAGGGGCCTCTGGGTGCTCTGGGCAGCTGCGGGTGTCCTGAGAGTGGGGGTCAGACGCACAGCGTGGCCAAGGCCGTGGTCAGGAAGAAGCGGAAGCTGCAGGTCGTTCTAAGTTCGTGTGTTTTCTGCTTTTAGGGTTCATTGTGTGCCTTGTCCTAGCATGGAACGCGGCGTGAAGCCGGGGTCACCCTCAGCAGTTACATGGGATTAAAGCCTGCACAGCTGGGAAAACTCTGAAGGTATATACTGCCTTTCTCAGCTCTTGTGGTTTTAAGCAAGAGTGCATGTTTTTGCAAACTCCTCTAGCAGTCTGAGGAAGAATGGGGGAAAGCTGTGCACGTGGAGACTGTGGGCTCGGGGGGTCGCCCCTGCCTGGCTCAGCCTGCAGCAGGGCTGTGCGGAGGGTCCCGGCTGGCTCCAGGGCACAGTGGGCCTGCCTCTCCACGCAGGCTTCAGCAGGCTGGGCAGCAGTGCTCCAGGGGCCAGGGTGGATGTGGCTAGGTCGGTTACAGGCAGGGCCAGCCTGACCCGGTGCTGGGGACCTGCGTGGCCTCAGGACTACCACATCGAGTGCCTTGCGTGATTGGTGCTGCCGCTCGCTGCCTGTCGGCCTTGTCCTCTCAGCAGCACATACAGTTTTGCTGGCTTTGCTTTTTCTGCTAATGCTGGCGACAGAGCCAGGACAGAGCCGGAACGGCCGTCCTTGTGAGTTGCCTACAGTCACCTCCCCGCCACACTTCCTTGTCAGAGCTCTCAGGCTCGGCTGATGTGTGGAGCGGGGCTTCCTGTTAGCTGTGCACTTGATGGTAGGCGGTGCTGGCCGTGTGACCTTTGAACTTGTGTGCTGGTCGTGACCCGATTACATTTCATCATTAGGTATGGATGATTCGGGAGACCCGAGCAGTGAGGAGGCCCCCAAGGCCATCAAGCCCACAAGTAAGGAGTTCAGGAAGACGTGGGGCTTCCGGAGAACCACGATTGCCAAGCGTGAGGGCGCAGGCGACGCCGAGGTGGACGCTGCAGAGCCGGCCCCGCAGCCGCAGCCGCAGCCGCAGCATGGCCTGTCCTTGCGGCGCAGTGGCCGGCAGCCGAAGCGCACGGAGCGGGTGGAAGAATTCCTCACCACGGTGCGGCGCCGGGGCAGGCGGAGCGCCCCGGCCTCCCTGGAGGACGGCACGGAGCCAGCGTCCTGCCCCGTCACCGACGCCGAGACCGCCTCGGAAGGGAGCGTGGAGAGCGCCTCCGAGAGCAAGGGTGGCTCTGTGCCTGGGGCCGGGCCGGCGAAGGAGCGACTCGCGTCTCCTGAGAAAGCCAAAGCAGGTGACGAGGAGGACGACACCTCCGACAGCGACAGTGACGGCCTCACCCTGAAGGAGCTTCAGAACCGCCTGCGGAGGAAGCGGGAGCGGGAGCCGGCCGAGAGGCCCGCGCAAGGGGCCCCCAGTCGCCTGAGGAAGAAGCGGCGGGAGGAGGACCCCGCAGAGCCCCTGCACGCGCAGGCCGGCGCTGCTGCTGAGCAGGTGCTGCCCAGTGCCCAGGAGCCCGAGGCTGGCCGAGGGGCCGTGTCCCAGGTGGCGGACGAGGGCGCCGAGAGTGAGGCCGAGGGATGCGCGGCACAGGGAGTCGAGGAAGAGCCCAGGAACACGGGGAGACCTAAGCCTGAGTGCGAAATCTACGACCCCAGCACCCTGTACTGCATCTGCCGCCAGCCCCACAACAGCAGGTGGGTTGGGGAGTGGTCAGCTGCCCCGGCCTGCAGAGAAAAATGGCGCTAGAGGACGTTGCCTGTGTTTGGGTTTTACAGGAAGAGTCCTTGTCAGGACTGCGTGGAGGCACGCTGTCCACTCTGGGCCTGGACCTGGTCAGCCCTGTTGGCTCTAGACAGCCCTTGGGGTGTACAGATTGCCTGGAGCCTCTGCAGGGTCCGGGGCTGGGTGGTGGTGGGGCGTGGCCCGGCTCCAGGGTAGGACGGGTGTGGGTGCTGTCGGGAGATGCACATGGAGACGTGGGGTCAGGACAAGAAGCAGATTTTAGTGGGGTGTTGGGATCCAGAGGAGGTCAGGTGGGATGATGGTGGTCCTGCTCCCTCCTGTGGATGTGACGGTGGGCCTGCTCTCTCCTGTTCTGTGCATTTCTGATTTTGCCCTGTTAGAATGCTAAGCCGAGTCTTGACTGTGGCACTACAGTGGCTGTCCCCCTCACCTCCCGGTGTCGTGGTTTCAGGTTCATGATCTGCTGTGACCGATGTGAGGAATGGTTTCACGGTGACTGTGTGGGCATTTCTGAAAATCGGGGGAGGCTTTTGGAGCGGAATGGGGAAGACTACATCTGCCCAAACTGCACAATCCTGCAAGTGCAGGCCGAGCCCGACGCGGAAGCCGCCGACCAGCAGGACGCGGGAGTGACCCCCGGCAGCGCGGATGGCACAGCCCTGATGAGCATGGGAACCGTGGAGCAGCGGGCCAGCGAGGACCAGGGCATCAAGGGGCGGATCGAGAAGGCCGCGCACCCGAGTGGCAAGAAGAAGCTGAAGATATTCCAGCCGGTGAGTGGGGGGCTGCCCTGGTGAGCCGCGAGGGACTGCCTCGTGGTTCAGACTTGCTGCTGACAGCACAGCAGTGCAGACCTGGAAGCGGCTGTCACACCGTCCAGCCGTGCCGGTGCGCGAGCCTCACCTGAGTATCGTTGGTGTTGCCGGGCACTTGGTGTCGCGTTGCCGCGGTAAACGTGCACCCCGTGTCCCCTTCCAGCACCTGGAGCGGCTGCCACTCACACCAGGAGCCCAGGGCCGGCGGCACTGGCGTCAGCGTGGCCCTCCTGGTGCTGGTGATGGCGTTTCTTTGCTGGCCGCTGTTTACCCAAGTCTCCCGCTGGGGTGGACACCTGCTTTGGGCCGTGGGCCTTTGTCACGTGTCCCACGTGTGCTGCAGTCCAGTTCCATGGTGGGGGGATGGGACGGTTGTGGCTCCGCAGGTCTGCGCCGTGGCCGGCCTGCCATGTGGCCTGTGCAGTGTGCAGGTGGGCACGCTGCAGAGGTGGGCGTGTGGCCTTGCTGCCGTGGCCACGGCTGTCGTTGAGAATCAGCAAAAACAAGAAGTATCAGCAGGGACGTGAGCTGCGGGGAAGGCCCTTAGTTCCAGTCTTCACTCTCCATGTTGTTGACAGAAGCCCAACTTTTACTCTAAGTACAACTTTTGAGTCTTTGGGGGAAGAATAAGTATCTTGACTATTTAATTCGAGAAATGGCAGTTGGAGAACACGTTACTGTGTATCTGTTCTTTTCCATCAAAGCGTTCTCTCCGGGCTGTGAGCGGAGGCAGCCGGGCGGGCTGTCACGGTGCTTCCCAGCCTGCAGGCCAGGACGTGTGCTCTCAGGAGGTAGAAGTGTCCGGAAGCGTTGTCCAGCATTTAGTCTGTGGCATACACATACTAAAAGTTGTTGGTTGTCTGAGCGTCAGGTTTAATTGGGTGTCCCCCCTTCACAGGCCAGCTTAACTGCAAGGCCGGCGTGGGGTCCCCTCTGGAGAAGAGGCCCAGTGCCTCTGGCCAGCGATTTCTGCTGGCAGAGTCGGGGCCTGGATGGCACCTGTAGAATCCCACGAGTCTCCCTAGAGCAGAGCCCAAGGCTCGATGCTTGGGGTGGGGTAGAATTGGAAGCAGTGTCCTCGGCACCTGGTGACTCACAGACGCTGACGGCCAGGGTGGCCGTGTGCGTCGCTCCAAGTGCCCGCTTCCTTCCCAGGTGGCGGAGGCTCCTGGGGCCGCCAGGTGCATCGGCCCTGGGTGCTGCAGCACGGCGCAGCCGGACTCCGTCTACTGCAGCAGTGGCTGCATCCTGAGGCACGCCGCCGCCACCATGGAGCTGCTGCGCTCAGGCCCCAAGGAGAAGGCGAAGCTGAAGGCAGCAAAGCTCCGTCCGCCCACCTGGAGCGTGCAGGTGAGTCGGCCCGGGGGCGGGGCAGCCGCGCAGACGGCGCTGGTCTTTCCAGGAGCTGCCCTGGGTCGGGGCGGGGCCCTGGGCTGCCGTGCGTCTCTGGGGCACCACTGGGAAGCAGCCAGGGGGGTTAGAAATCAGACTGTGCCAGCCCTGCCGCGATCACGTGTGTGACACACGTGACTCGTGCTGCTTGGAGAAGGTGGCTGGCTTCCTTTCAGGCTGTTGTTTAGCCTTTAGACGGCTGGATTTCAAGGCTGATATTTTTAGTGCCGGGATTGCAGAAGCCGTGGGTGCGGCACACTCAGGACGGTGGTGCTGGGGCGCTCGAGCTCCAGACTGAGCTGAGGAGACGGCACCCTCACGTGCACCCTGCTGCTGGGGGCTGGGGGCTGAGGGCTGTGCCGGTGCACGGGCTCAGGGTGCGTGAGGGGCCTTCAGCTGACCCCAAGAAGCAGTAGTGACACCTTAATGACCGGGGTTTTACTGGTTATCCAGGCAGGCATAAAAATCTCTTCTGTACACAAGAGACCAGCTCCAGAAAAGAAAGAAAACCCAACAAAGAAGGTGGTGCTGGCCCCTCCTAGGGGCGAAGCTGTGGGGAAGGAGGCGCCGAGCGAAAGCACGCCGTCCTGGGCGAGCGACCACAATTACAACGCAGTAAAGCCGGAGAAGAGTGCTGCGCTCTCGTCGGCACTGTTGTGTAAATGTATGTATGACCTGGGGCTGGCCTCCCGGGCCCTCCCGCTCACTCCGGAAGGCGCTTCCTGGCCTCTCCGGGACTGGGAGCTGCGCTGGTGTCCTGACGCTGGCCCTGAACACGGGCAGCGCTGTCAGAGCTGGAAGCATGTGCCGGTGTGCAGGATGCCCTTTGACCCCGTGTGTGTCCCTGGTGTGCGGGACGTCTGTCAGTCTTTCCTCAGCTCGCAGCCTCGTGCTGAGTGTCCCTGTTAGCGTCTCTAGTCCGTCCGCATTGCCAGGCTCTGGTAAGTATCCCTGTGCCGCACAGCGAAGTCGGAACAGACGCACCCTGGCCAGCGCTCGAAGCTCATCGTGTGAAGTGTGGTTCTTCCACGTTGCCCACCGTCATCACTGCTGTGGGGCCCTGCACTTTAGTGTTCTGACGCTCAGTGAGGCGGTGGCCCTCAAGAGTGACACTGGTTTTTAACTGGATACAGATTTTCTCTCCCCCCATTCACGTACCACACACCCACCTAACACACGCACGCGCAAAGGCTGCTGCAGAGCCGCGGTGAGTGACAGCAGAGCGCCCGTCCCGAGGGCCAGAGGGTCGTGGCTGGGGAGGGGTAACTTCGTGGCTCCTTGGGAATGTTTAGACTTGAAGTGCCCTGCCCCACTGCCGGATCAGTGAGGTGGACGTCAGCAGAGCTTTGGATGCCACGCCCACCGTGGCTCTGGTCTTCCCAGATCGTCAGATGCATAGGCACCGCTTGCAGCAGCAGGACTGTTGCCCGCTCAGTTCCTGGGTGTGCTCTCGTTCCTTGTGCCTTTTACAGGAGCACCAGAGGTGGAGTAGCCCTGAGCCCCGCGATCAGACAGGGCTGTGTCGTCTGACGAGCCCTGTGGGTGGTGCACTGTGCTCAGGCCCCTGAGCCCGAGAGCTAAGTGCACGGCCTCCACGAATTGTGTTACAGTGATTTTGTTTTTCTTTTTTCTTTTTTTTTTTTAAATTATTTATTTGAAAGGCAGAGTTGCAGAGAGAGGAGACACAGGTCTTCCATCCACTGGTTCACGCCCCAGATGGCCGCAATGGCCGGAGCTGAGCAGATCTGAAGCCAGGAGCTTCCTCCAGGTCTCCATGTGGGTGCAGGGCCCAAGCACTGGGCCGTCTGCTGCTTTCCCAGGCACAGCAGGGGGCTGGACTGGAAGAGGGGCAGCCGGCACAAGAGCCGGTGCCCATGTGGGGTGCTGGGCCCGCAGGCGGAGGCTCGGGCCATCGTGCCAGGGCACCGGCCCCTGCAGTGACTCCTGAACACCTTCAGTTGTTGCAGCTGAGAATTCCAGGCAGCACGTGGCTATCTGCAGTGACACCCGTGTCCACGGCGTGACCTTTGTCACAGCTCTCAAGGGTGTGTCAGTAGGCCTGGCCTCTGTTGCTTACAGACACAGCAGTGAAGGGAGAGCACCCAGGCCCGCAACCCAGTGCAGCAAAGGGCCATCTAGTGCAGTGCAGTTGATTCCTGGCTGCCAGCCAGAACGGGGGAGTTTCAGGAGGCTCTGCCCACTGGGGGGAGGGGATGGGGTGGGGGTGGGGCACTAGGTCTGAACCGTGGTTTCCTGTCTCCTCCTGGGGGCTGGGTCCTGTGCATTCCTGCTCTGATGTCTCCCAGCCCCCCCCTTTCCTACTGTGAGCTCTCAGTGGAGCTGCTGTGCTGCGTGGCAGGAGGTCGGGACTGACGGGTGCCTGCGGGACCTTCCCAGTGCACCCACCTCTCGGCTGAACTGACGGCGCAGCACGCACGTGGAAACAGTTGCTTCTGATCTGTTACCCCAGAAACGCCATCTCCCCATGAGCTGATGGCAGGAGAGCAGGGTCTTTAGTGACTGAGCCCGACTTTAGCCGTGGGGAGCAGAGCGGGGCTGCACCCCTCCCTCTTCCATCTCTTCTCCCTGGGGCAGGACACACTATGGGCACTCACACACAGTCCACTGGGGCGCTGCGTCTGGGAGGACCTGTGTCCTGCCTCCCTGGCAGGCGCTGCTTGGGGTGAGAGCCCGCCTGAGGCCAGCGGGGGCTATGCTGCTGGCCCCTTGTGAGTCGGCTGACACTCGGCTCACCGTGCACGAGGAGCCCACGTGGCACAGCTCAGCGCCACCGCTGCTGCAGAGGCGCACTGGGCAGCCCTGTCCTCCCCGTGGGCAGCTGGGACAGAGGTGTGGACACAGGCCCAGCTGCTGGAGTGCGGGCCAGGGACCGGTGCTGCCCGTGGGAGCCGCAGATCTTCACGCAAGGTGATGCCGTGGGCGTGCAGCCAGCCCTCTGGTTTGTTGTTCAAATTGCTTCTTAGGACTTTGTGTAGTCTCTCTAGCTTACGGAACGATTGTCATCTTATTATTTCTCCACAAAATCACATTCCTTTTGTTTCTGTGTCCTTATTCCATTTTTCCCTCTTTATATTCCCACTGTTCATCTCCGTTATTGTCAGGATGTGGTGTGGCTGTAATCCTCCGAAATGTTCCTGATGCGCTAGGATTCGGAAATGGAGCCCTGGTCCTCGTAGCATAATTTCTAGGATTTGGGACTCCTTAAGCTACAGTGGAGGATCCAAACAGGCTTTGATAAACGGATTTCTAAACCTCATTTCCTTTTGCGGTGGGAGAGAGAGTGAAAATCTTTCTTAACAACTTTGTAGACCCGAACCCAGATGCCTCGCTGTGCACAGCCCGGGCGGCTTCAGGGCAGCCTGCCCAGGGAACACGCAGAAGGACATTGCACCGAAGCCCTGAGAGGAACAGAGCCCCTGTCAAGTATCTGGGGTGTCGGTGGTTGTGCAGGCATGGGGGGGGGGGGGCGGGCATCTTGCTGGTTTCATGAGCAGCTTTTGTCTCCCTCATCCAGAGTTGGTGATAATAAAACGAGGAACCTGACTTTGTCTCCCAATTAGAGGAAAAAGTCAAAGCTTACGCTAAAAGAGTTTAGCTGAACAGCTATCTTTGAATGTTTACACAGCTAGAATTCTCATTTGTCAATAATGCTATGTTAGAAGTTTAGCCTTAGAGTAGCCTACTAAGAAGTTCAGGTTAGGGAGAGGTTGCACATCTCCTTGGCCATGACCCTGCAAGGGGAAGCCCCCTCGCCCGTCTTCAGGTGCCTGTGCCAAGGCCACCCTGGGGGAGGTGGAAGCTTCTGGCGGGAGTGGGTGTTGGGCCCACGGGGTCCCCCCAGCCCACATGACCGTCCTGCGGCCTGGGCGCTGCGGGTCTGCTCACTCCGAAGTCCGTGCTCCAGGAAGGTCCCTGTCCAAGGGCACAGGTCTTCTCGGGACGCCTGCGGTGATGACCACGCCACGTGGGCTCCGGGTGTATGTGAAGTTCCGTAGTACGCTTCTCTTGCACATCAACACCTGCCTGCTCATATTCTTGGCTTTTAAAAGAAAATTTGCTGAAAGATTGATGTATTTGAAAGGCAGAGAGAGGAGGGAGGGCCTCCATCTGCTGGTTCACTGCCCAGACGGCTGCAACAACCAGAGCTGTGCCGATCTGGAGCCAGGAGCTTCTTTGGGGTCTCCCACGTGGGTGCAGTTGCCCGAGCACTTGGGCCATCTTCTGCTTCTTCCCAGGCCACAGCAGAGAGCTGGAGTGGAAGTGGAGCAGCCGGGACTTGAACCAGCACTGCAGGCAGTGGCTTTAGCCGCTATGCTACAATGCTGGTCCCTACTATGTTTAATTTTTTTGATTATATATTTGAAAGGCAGAGTTAGAGAGGTGGAGAGGGGTCTTCCATCCACTGGTTCCCTCCCCAAGTGGCCACAGCAGCTGGAGCTGGGCCGATCCAAAGCCAGGAGCTTCTTCCAGGTCTATACTGGTGCAGGGCTCAAAGATTGGGCCATCTTCTGCTTTCCCATGCCAAAGAGAGCTGGGTTGGAAGTGGAGCAGTGGGACTCAAAACAGGTGCCCATATGGGATGCCGGCACTGCAGGCGGTGGCTTTACCAGGTTCACCACAGTGCCTGTCCCGTTTTTTAATTTATTTGAAAGGCAGACAGTCTTCCATCGGCTGGCTGGCTCCCCAGATGGCTGCAATGGCCAGGGCTGGACCAGGCTGAAGCCAGGAGCATCTCCCAGGTCTCCCACACTCTGGCTGCTTTCCCATGTTCATTAGCAAAGAGCACCAGGACTGGAACTGGCACCAGGTGGTGGCTTTGTCTACACCACAGTGACGCCCCAGCTGTCATTTAAACGAAGGTTGGACACGCTGCAAACCTGAAGTTTCCAGCAGGAAGACTGTGAGCGGTAGCCAGCTGTGATCTGGGTGCCATCAGCCTTGAAGCTTACACTGAGTGTGACCCTGTGGGCCTTCAAGGGGAGGGTTGTGGCCTTGTCACGGGCTTCAAGTAGGGCACAGTGCAGGCGCGGACAAACCTCCACTAAGACATGCGCTTGCGGAAGCAGCCGGGTGGCTCAGGACAGCAGCGACTCCCCTCCCAGTGAGTGTTGGTCTGGAAGCTGGGCACAGCCGTGCGCAGCCAGCAGACAACTAAGTGACAGCGAGTGCTCCCCTGCCTGTGGCCCCTCCACGTCACATCCTGGTGGTCCACCCTGAAGTGTCATTTGATGAATTCTTTGTGTGTGACCAACCCAGCGCGAGTCGTAGCTGAGAGTGCTGTATGTGGAGCTCGTGCCACGAGGTCGTCTGCCCCGGGAGACCAGGGACTGCACAGCTGCGAGGGAGCGCGACCTGGCCGTGGGCGCTGCTCACACGGCTGCCGGCAGCTGCAGAAGCATCGCTCCGTGCAGTGTTGCTTCCTCCTCAAGGAGTCAGTCCGACAAGGCAGTAGCTCTCTACCTCTGAGACAGACAGAGAAGCTGTTTTCTCTGGGTGCTGTCACCTTGATCTTTCACACGGAGCAGCTAGCGCAGGGGGCAGAGTCCTGGGTTTTGGCCTGAGGCACTGTTTCCGATGGGAGAGCCCTGGCTGGAGGCTGCAGCTCCTTTGTCCCTGGGAAGCTGTCCAGCGAGGAGGGGAGGGGCGTCTGAAACCCTCTCGGTGCTGCAGTCCCCCTGGGCTGGTGCACGGGGTCTTGGTGGAGGCCCACTAGTGCCACCCAGTGACTGGTGCTGCTGCAGCGCCAGCCTTCCCAGGCCCGACTCCTGGTTTCCTGTTTCAGGAAAGCCGGCCAATTGGAGCCTGCTGGCTTATCCCGGCACACCAAGGCCAGGCGCAAACAGTTTCCCTCACAGACACGGCCACAGCAAGCTTGCTCCAAGTTCCATGGTGTTGCCTGCCTGGATACACTTCCTCCTGTGGCTGCTGAGGGCTGAGCTGCCTCGCCAGGCAGGCCTGGGAGGGAGGGAGGGCAGCAGCAGGGCTGGCCTGCACAACACACTGAAGAGCGAACTAGAGTCAAGAAGTTGCAGATTTGGGTTAACAGCATTTGAAAATCGTTGTCCTTTGAGCAGAGGCCAAGCCAGGCCCAGCCCTGGCCGTGCTGCCCCTGCTGTAGGAGGAAGAGCACTCAGCCCTGGCCCGAGCAGCTGGGCAGGACTTCCAGCGTGTCACACGCTCTTCAGACGTGTTTGCTGCGTGGCAGATACCAGCAGACCAGCTAGCTGGAGTCCACCAATCTGGGAGGCTGTTGCCAAGTTCATTTACCTAATCAGCTCAGTGGTGTATCGGGAGTGGCAGTAGGGGGCGACAGAGAGACGGTATAGGAGCGGCTGGTTTCACGGAGGGCGGTTGGGCTCCAGGACGGGTGACTCAGCCTTGTGTTGGGGAAGTCCTAAAGGTAACGTCTAGACTTGGATTTCCCCCAAGAGGGAGGACATACATCAGTGGAAGCTCTGGTCTCCGTGGATGGCTCATCTAGACCTGGGGTTGGGAGAAGCAGTGTTGACGTGTGGAATTAAGTTTCTGATACGAGAGTGTAATGCCCTGGAGGTTGGCCTTGGGTCGCGTGGCGCAGCATCCTGTGTGTGACGCTCGGGGTGTCCTGTTGAGGCCCTGGCTCTGCGCTCAGAGCAGCAGGGACTGGATGCGCTCTGGCCTCAGCTTTGAGCTGGCCAGTTCATTCCCGGGGCACAGCCCTGTCCTTGCTGCAGACATGCGCCCCTGCCCTCCGAGAGCAAGGCCTTCGGGGGTCCCTATAGCTGGAACTCGGGCATCCTCTCTGCTAGGTGCTGCTGCCTTGGAGCGAAATCTGCACGTCAGAAGTGAGTGGGCATACTGAGGTCCAGAGTCCCCCCGCCACCCTGAGAAATAGCTTGGGCACCCAGCTTTGAGGGGCCTGTGACCTGCTGAGCCCTGTGTGTGGGGGATGGGTGTCCCATTATTCTGCTTTGCCAGGCATTGTCATGGCTTTATAGTGCCCACCGTGTAAAAACCCAGCTCCAAAAAGGGGTGCTGCACTTGGAGAGACAGCAGTTGGGGGTGTGTGTTCACCCCCAGGCAATGGAAGTGGGAGAGGGCAAGGCAGCCCATGCACTGGCCCCTCACTGGTGTTGGGGGTGTGAGATGGGACTGTACCTGCTGGCAGTGGTGGGCTTGCCTTGGTGCATTGCCAGTGGGATGGTATTTAGGAAAAAGCACAAGACCTGGTGATGCCTGCCCCCACCTCCCGAGTAGTGCTAGTGCAGGTTTTGTTAAGGAACCTTGTGAAGTGCGGGAAATGTGTGGCTCGCAGGCCTGGTGCTGTGTGGTGACGGTGCTCAGGCTGCCAGGGAGGGGCTGACAGCCAGCCCCCTGCCCGCACAACCAGGCCGGTGGCAAGGCTGTGGCCTGCGGGGACCCCGGGAGCAGCTCTTCAGGAGGGCAGGTTTTCCACTCAGGCCCTCACAGACGGGGTCTCAGCTCTTTCCCAGGTTTCTGGGACTCTTTGGGGATGGTGAACACAAGCAATGGGAGAGGAGTGAGGGTTCATTTGTTCTTAACTCCTGGGTGAGAGGGCATCTCCGGGGCACGTGGGGTGCCAGAGGGAAGGCTGGTGCTGGTCCCTGAAGCCCAGGGACTCCCAGCGCCCAGAGCTCGTGGCGCTGCTGCCTGGACTCTGGTGGTCCGGTCAGGTGGGGATGGCCTCTGTCAGGTGCGGACATGCAGAGACTGGCCTTTCTGCTGAGCTTTGGGCCACAGCCCCGGTGGCGCTGAGGACGAACGACACACGCCGCGTTGAGTCACAGTGCAGCGTTGTGACTGGGAGGGGATGTAGCGGCTTCGTTGCGTTCTTGGCCCGGCACTTGGTGTGGCTTCCCCGTGTCGCACATTCCTGTCCCCTTTCCATGCCGGCAGCGGCCTCGTCTCCTGCTGGCTGAGCCAGTGCGAGGCCTCCTGGGTCCCTCAGAGGACGTGCGTTTGCCCTTCCTGGGAAGGCTTCCAAGTGCAAGTTTGCCGAGGATCTCACCTGCGCACTTAATGGTCAAAGTGCCATTCTCCGTGCAGCCTCTTGTGGCACTGGACTTTGTCCTTGAGCTTGATCGCTCAGCTCATGGTTAGGTGCAGCCTCTGCTGCTTGGCTGGTCAGCCGAGGTGAGAGCGTCAGTGCAGTGAAGGAAAGCATTTACGTTCGCGGTCCCAGATGCTCACAGCCTACAGCAGCCAGGGACTGAATCCAGGTCCCCAGGTGGGAGACAGAAACCTGCGGCTCGAGCCACCCCTGCTGCCTTCCAGGGTGCACACGAGCAGGGGGCTGCAGTGCAGGTGCCCCGGTCAGCGTCTGGGCCACTGCGCTAGACCGCCGCCCTGCGTGCTCTGCAGCAGTGTGGTCGCGTGACCACTCCTGGCAGCCCTGAACCATGCTCTCCTGTATTTTAAGTTTGTCCCATCGAGCGTGCCTCGTGTGCACTTGCTGGCCACGCCAGCGCCCTTTCTCACGTGCCTCCTGCTCTGTTCTAGCTGTGAAAGAAGACAGAAGAGTGGAGGAGAAAGTGACGACGGCAGCAGCCTCCAAGAAGACGGCCCTCCCAGGTTCCTCGGCGAGCAGACAGACAGCGCCCAGGAGTCTCCTCCCAAAGAAGTCTCCTCTTGGTGGCATGGTGGCCGCCAGGCCAGTCATTAAAAAGGCACCCTCTGGCTGCAAGGGCGCCATCCCCAAGAGACCGTGGCTCTCGGCCACTCCCTCGGGCGGCGCCTCAGCTGCCAAGCAGGCGGGACCCACAGCCGTCCCTGCGACGGCCGCCTCCAAGAAGGCACCGGGTGCTGCTCTGGCGGGAGCCGTCAGGAAGCCAGCGGCGACTTCCGCATCGGCAGCCTCTCCGGCCGCCGGACGCCTCGGAGCCGCGAGCCCTGCACCGTCCCAGCCAAATTCACAAATACGGCAGAACATAAGGCGCTCCTTGAAGGAGATTCTGTGGAAGAGGTGGGCTGCCGTCCTGTGCGGTGTGCTGGGTTCCAGGCGGCCCCGCGGCGCGAGAAGGTAACGCCTGTGCTCTCTCTGCTCAGGGTGAATGACAGCGACGACTTGATCATGACGGAGAGTGAGGTGGGCAAGGTCGCGCTGCACATCGAGAAGGAGATGTTCGGCTTGTTCCAGGTCACAGACAACCGCTACAAGAGCAAGTACCGCAGTATCATGTTCAATCTGAAGGACCCCAAGAACCAGGTGTGTGCTCGCCCGGCACGGACGCCGCAGGGCCTTCTGGGCCCGTCGGTGGCCTCACTGGCTCCCTCGGTCACTCGCTGCACCACGCTCAGACCCCAGGGCGCCGCGTCACTGCCTGCAAAGCAAAGCTGTGGCTGCGTCGCGGTCCTGAGCGGGCACTGCCTCCTGCAGCCGCGGGGCGAGCCTGGCTCAGGGCCTTTGTGGGGGAAGGACAAGCTGCCTGCCGGGCGGGGTCCAGTGCTGGGGTCTTGGGGTGAGCCCGGACGCCAGCTGTGGGTCCCCAGCATGGGTGGCATCCCCTGGGTGCTGGCTGCTGCCTGGCACGGTGCCGCCTTCTCTGGCTGCTTCGGGTCTTGGTCCTGTGACTGCTGTGCCCCGTTTTCCCGTGCCCTCTCCAAGCTCACAGACACAAACACAAACAGTTTGTGAACAAGCGAATGAAACACGTTCGTTTGTAGGGGCTCTTCCATCGTGTTCTGCGTGAAGAAATCTCCTTGGCAAAACTTGTGAGGATGAAGCCAGAAGAACTGGTATCCAAAGAGCTTTCCACGTGGAAGGAGAGACCGAGGAGACCCGTGAGTCCCCTGGGACAGCGGCGTGTGCGGGGCGGGGCGGGCTGAGCGTCTGCCCGGCCTTCACCCTGTCCTTCGTGTCCTAGGCGGTGGAGCCCAGAGCCAGGCTGCATAATGGGGGCAAGCGGGTAGTTGCTGTCCAGGAGGCCGCCCCCGACATGGAGGATTCTCCCCCCGTGTCGGACTCGGAGGTGAGTGTCCGGGTCTGCTGGAGCTGCCGTTAAGTCGCTGGGCCAGGTGCTGAGCTTGTGGCAGGTATTTGAGGGTAAAAATCTGTGAAAAATGCGTGTTAAGAAGAAAGGAGTGGAGATTGCCCTTTTTTTGGCAGCAAACGAGATGTATCTTAATTCCACTTTTCCATGAACTTCAAGCAGCCACGTGTGCTTGGATTTGATGTTTTTCGCACCAAAACTTTTAATTCTGTTTTCTCCGACTTTGTGACTCGCCCCCGTGGACCTGTCTGTTCTGTGGGTTCTTCCTGGCCGTGAGCTTGGGAGAAACATGGCTGCTACTTCGCAGGAACAGCAAGAGGCCGTCCGAGCTGCCCCTGAGCGGAGCACAGCCCCCGCCCTGGACGTCTTCAGCAGCATGCTGAAGGACACGACGAGCCAGCACCGTGCGCACCTCTTTGACCTGAACTGTAAGATCTGCACAGGTGAGCGTAATCGGCGGAGAGGGCAGTCGGACACAGAGCGGTGCTGCGCCTCCTGCAGCCAGTTGTATTCAACCCCTGGCTTTGTCCCGTCGCCTCTGGATTCTTCCACAAAGCCCTGGCCCGCTGGGGCGCGCTCCCTGCCTTTGATCTGCCGGGTTTTCACGACGTCCCTTCTCCTGTTCCTCAGGTCAGGTCGCGTCATCGGAAGAACCCGCTCCAAAAAAGCAAAAATTGTCAGCCTCCGCTAAGAAGGACGACCTGAAGTCCAGGGACGGCAGCGCTCCCCCGGACCCCGCTGCCAGCCCGGCTGACGACGAGATCCCAGAAGCCCCGCCCGGAGAAGCTGCCGAGCCCGACCTGGAGGGCACCTCGCAGCCACACCTGGAGAGGAAGCCGCTCCCTGGGCCCCCGGGAGACGGCTGTCCCGAGCCGTCCCCACTCGAGGGCCTCTCCGCCTGCCCAGCCCCCGCTGGGGGTGGGGTGGTTACCACTGTCACAGTATCGGGCCGGGACCCCAGGACGGCTCCAAGTGGGTCAGGCACAGGCATGGCCTCTGCGGCAGCCCACCTGGACAGTCCGCACGCGATGGAGAGCAAATCAGATGTGCCGAAGCCTGCTGTGACTTCTGTGACGGTGCCCAAGTCCATACTGGCTAAGCCTTCCTCTTCCTTGTCTCCGGACCCACGGTACTTGTCGGTTCCACCGTCGCCAGGTGTCAGGTGTGTGGTTCTCACGGACAAGCTGAGAGCAGTTTGTTTTGATTAACAAAGCAAAGGGGAGGGGCCGGCACCGTGGCTCACTTGGTTAATCCTCTGCCTGCGGCGCCGGCATCCCATACAGGTGCCGGGTTCTAGTTCCGGTCGCTCCTCTTCCAGTCCAGCTCTCTGCTGTGGCCCGGGAGTGCAGTAGAGGATGGTCCAGGTGCTTGGGCCCTGCACCCGCATGGGAGACCAGGAGAAGCACCTGGCTCCTGGCTTCGGATCAGCGCAGCTCCGGCCGTGGTGGCCATTTTAGGGGGTGAACCAACAGAAGCAAGACCTTTCTCTCTGTCTCTCTCACTGTCTAACTCTGTCTGTCAAATAATAAAAAGGGGGGGGAGGGTACTCAGTAGCTGCGACTCCAAGATTTATCCAGAAACAGAAACACCACTGTATGCTTTCCAAGAGGCGGTTTTTAGGATGTGTAATTGTCTTTACAGGTGGGATTTTGTTGTTGGTTTCTAAAAGATTTATTTATTTATTTGAAAGGCAGAGCTAGATCTTCCACCCCTGGGTTCACTCCCCAAATGGTTGCAGTCGCCATGGCTAGGCCAGGCCAAAGCCAGGAGCCTCTTCCCAGCCTCCCACACGGGTGCAGGGACCCAAGCTCTTGGGCCACCTTCTGTGGCTTTCCCAGTGGAGCAGCCACGTGGGTTGCTGGTGCTACAGTGGCGTAGCCCGCTGTGCCACGGTGCTGGGTCTTGGAGGTGTGGGTTTTGAAAACTGAAATTTGAATCTGGTTGAGCACATTTGTAGTGTAATCAGCTTGTTTTTCTCTGACCAAAACGTCCACTTGTGTAGTTTCATTTGCATAGTTAATTAGCAAAAGTGAACTTGTCAGACCTGGCAGGAGCTCACTTCTGCTTTTCTGGACACGTGCGTGTCCGTGCCGGGAAGCTTCCTGTACAGAGGGGCTCACGCTCTGTTTTGTTTCCAGTGTCTCCGGCTCTCGGTCCCCCCCGGAAGGAGACACGAGCCTGTTCTTGTCTCGCCTCAGCGCCATCTGGAAGGGATTCATCAACATGCAGGGTGTGGCCAAGTTCGTCACTAAGGCGTACCCTGTGTCTGGGAGTTTGGATTATCTCAGTGAGGTTAGCACCGAGAGTGCGTGTGGGTGTGTGCGCGCCTGTGTCGCTCGTGGGAGTCCCGCACAAGATCTCACCGGAGAGCAGCGTGTGCCACTCCCACCGCTCTGGAAACGAACGGGCTGCTGGGAGGAGCCAGCGGCTGGGACGGAGCAGAAGCTGGACAAGAAGCTGGGGGCCCTGGTTCTCCGTTCAGGGGGGCGGTGACCGGCTGTGAGCACGGCCAGGCCCGTGGAGCCTGCTGAACGTGGGGTCTCCTGCTGCCAAGTGGGCAGAACGGGAGGAGCGAGGGTGCCGCGGCACCTGGACTGGGGCGGATGCGCGTGAGAGCGCGCGGTGCTGGGCGGGGTCTCCACGCACGGCCCCGTGTGGCAGGTCGCCTCATGCCACCTTGCCTTTGGTGGCGTGGGCCTGTCATTGGTTCGGTGGCTTCGTGCCTGGAAATGGCTGTACTTCCTTTGCTTACCCAGAGTGCTTTCTGTTTAGGACTTGCCCGACACCATCCACATTGGCGGGAGGATTGCGCCAAGGACAGTTTGGGATTATGTTGGCAAACTCAAGTCTTCCGTGTCCAAGGTACCTGCTCACAGCCGCGGCACTGCTTGCCCCGGCGCTCCCGTTGGGCTTCCGAGCCCACAGCCTGACCCAGCGATGCTGTGAGAGCGGCTGAGCCCTCGGCAGCGGGACTTCTGACGGCTCCAGCGTGTGCCGCACACGGCACTAGCAAGTGTGTGCGCTTCACTTTTCTCTAACGGCTGAAGGAGCAGACGGTGGGGTCGCGGCAGTGCTGCGGCTCAGGCGCTCGGTCGGGGCTGAGTTAGCACCGCGCGCACCTGCGCCGTGGCACGTGGAAAGGGCTGTGGTGGCTGTCCCGTTCCTGAGAGGAGGCTGGAACTGTCCTGGTCTCAGCGTGTGGTGAAAACTTCGTACCACGCGCTGCCGGGCTGCCCCCAGCTGGCACGCAAATCTGAGGTCGGGGTGTGGACAGAGCAGTTCCAAGTTTCCTGCAGAAAAACAGGTGTGAGCCCGGCACCGGAGCTTGAGTGTCCTCCGCCACGGGGCCGTGCCGCTCGGTGTGCTCGGCTCAGCCGCTGGAGGCGTGCGGGCTCGGTGCAGGCTGGACAGCGCGTGCTCTCCCGGGCAGCCAAGGTGAACGCTCGCCGTCCTCTGTTTGCGTTGCAGGAGCTCTGCCTGATCCGCTTCCACCCCGCCACGGAGGAGGAGGAGGTCGCCTATATTTCTCTCTACTCCTATTTTAGCAGCCGTGGCCGCTTCGGTGTGGTCGCCAACAACAACAGGCACGTCAAGGACCTCTACTTGATTCCGCTGAGTGCCAAGGACCCGGTTCCGTCCAAACTCCTGCCCTTTGAGGGACCAGGTAAGCGCCCACTTCCTTGGTGCTGAGGCGCGTGGGACCCACGCCTTCTTCTCACTGGTGGGCTCCTGAGCGGCTGCCGCAGGCGCAGAGGGCGGCGCTGCACGCTCCTGGGCAGTAGCAGACGTGGTCTCAAAGATGTTAGTGGAGAGGGATGAGCCGCAGGCTGAAGCCAGGACCAGGGAGAAGAGGGGAGGCCTGGCTCTCGGTCCTCCACCCTGGATGGGTGAGCCTGGGTCCCTCGGGCGGCAGCACCTCAGCCGGTACTTCTCACCGGGACACAGGACGCTTCTAGAGGGGTCGCTTCTAGGCCGCTGCTCGGCTGTTACCGGATCCTGCCAGCTTCGGCCCGCTACCTTGTGTTTGCTCATTTCTCAGGAAGTAGGATGTTGTCAGGACCACTTGTAACGTAATCTAGAAATACTTCAGGTTTGTACAGGACTGAGGGTGATTCCGAGGGAGCGTGCGTGGTCTCTGTGACCCCTCAGAGGCTGAAGTGGCGTTGGGCAGCCACTGCGCTCCTGAGACTGATGGGTGCAGCAGGACCTGCCCGCAGCACACTGCGGCCCCACCCCGGGCTCAGCAGGTGCTCAGAGCCCGCGCTGCCTCGCACACGCAGGCCAGTCGGGCGCGTGGAGAGGCCAGAGACCCGTCTCCCAGGCCCCGCCCTCGCCCGACTGAGCCGGGGCCCAGGCTGCGCTCCCTTTGGAGCTCGGTGTGCGTGAAGCCATCACTTGGTGTCAGTGATCCCAGGGTTAAGTAATCCCTGGCTGGGTAGCATTATATTATTTTAAAAAGAGATTTATATATTTATTTGAAAGTCAGAATTAGAGAAGGGGACAGAGAGAGATCTTCAATCCACTGGTTCACTCCCCACATGGCCACAACAGCTGGGGCTGGACGCGCCAAAGCAAGGAGCCAGGAGCTTCATCCGGGTCTCCCACGTGGGTGCAGGGCCCAAGCGTTTGGGCCATCCTCCACTGCCTTCCCAGGCCATTAGCAGGGAACTGGATTGGAACTGGAGCAGCCAGACACGAACCAGCCAGCGCCCATATGGGATGCCGGCACTGCAGGTGGCGGCTTTACCTGCTATGCCACAACAGCGGCCTTGTGTTATTTTATTTTAAAGCCAAATACTTGTTAGAAGCAAAATGCTTTAATCTGGGCTGTCAGACCGCTCGGGGTGAAGCTGAGCTGCCCGGCAGGCGGTTGTGTGGAGAGAGGACGTGCCTGGCTCTGCTGGGGCGAAGAACCTGGAGCTGACCTGTCGGACGCCTGGGAGGAGTGGCTGGCCGGCCCCGGGCACGAGCGCCCCTCGCCGTGATGAGATGCTGGCTGCTGTGCAGAGCCTCTTCTGTAGCGGGGGGAGCAGTGCACCTGGAGCCCCTCGTGACAACCTAGAGCAGGGTCTCCCTCCCTGCCGCAGGGTCGGGGCAGGGGCGTGGGGAAGTCGCCTGCGAGAGGACAGAGGTGCAGCGCCTCCCCGTGAGGAGCGCTGGGGGAGAGGAGGCTTGCCTTACGCTAGCTGTGTGGGGCACTGACCACCCAGAGGCACACTGGGTGCCCGGCCGCGTGGCTGCACACTCACCCTCACAGCGCTCGCTTGAGGCCTTGATGCTGGCCGGAGGGGCAGGCAGAGCCCCGGGTTCCTGTCCACGGTGAAGAGCAAATATGTTTCAAAACAGGAAGGAGGATTTTAGGAAAGTAGCAGTCAGTGCGATTGTGCCCCCAAACACCCTCTGCAGCCCAGCAGCCTTGCCCTGGCCTGGCTCAGCCTGGCCCGCCCTGCCTGGGACACTACTTTGGCATTTTCAGGATACAGGTGTGTACATGTGTATCCTGGTTTCAAGGTGTGCAAGCGTGGCTGTGTGTGTGTGTGTGTGTGTGTGCGTGCGCGCACGCGTGTGGCTGGCTGGGGGAAGCTGGGGCCCATCCCCCTGGTTCCTGTCCTCACAGAGCCTAAATCTTTGCACGGAAGCCTTTGGCCAGCACAGGCTGTGCCGAGCGTGGCAGCCTGCTGTCCCACACGAACACATACCGCACAGCCGGCCCTGGCCCCAGCGGCCCACGGTGTCCCTTACCCGGGATCCCTTTGCTGCCCACGCCACCTGCGGCCTAAGTCACAGAGGTGGCAGGACTGTGGGGTCTGTGTGGGCCCCGCGTCCTGCGCTCAGGGTCACAGTGAGGCTGCTGCCCTTCAGTTCTCAGGTGGCGAACACAGAATAGCCCCGGGGTGGGCTGCCACGTCGGTCCTCAGCCAGCACCGGGCCCAGGTGCCCCTGCCAGCACGCATCCTCCGCGGGCCTGCTGCTCACACTTGCGGAGCAGTGAACACAGCCAGGGGGTGGTGCCCTGGCTCCTGGCCACTGCTGGGCTCCTGTCCAGCTGTGCTCGGCCACAGTGACTGGAGGGTGCTGTCCCCGGGTCCTCGACAGCCGTGCGCCTCAGAGCAGCGTCCGGAGCATCCCTGCGCCTGCCCGAGCTTTCCGGGAACGCCCGTGTCCTGGGCATCTGTAAGACTTGTCCATGCAAGTCCTGGTTTGTCTTGTGTCACACGGTGACGGTTTGGGTCACGTAGCACTGTTTCCAGGGCAGCCCAGTGCAGGTGGCCACCTTCTCCCAGCTTAGCCAACTCCAGCTCCACGGTGTGCTTAGCCAGAGACCTGGGACCTCAGAGTCCCAGTCCCAGCCTTGTTCCTGGACGACTGGTCAGCCAGGGGCCTCGTGCTGGGCTCCAACCGCGACCCCGACGGGACCAGGACTGCAGCCAGGACAGCCACACTGCTGCTGGCACCCCCAGCCCATGTCTGAGTCAGGAGGGCTTGGCTGGCTGCCTGATCCAGCCCCGCAGCTCCCCCGGATGAGGGGCGAGGGCACTGGCCCCTTGAGGGTCCTGTTCCCGGAGTGTTGCCACTTCTCGGAGAGACGTGCGCATCCAGAGTGCCTTTTGTTTGTTTGTTTCTTACTTGAAAGGCAGAGTTAGAGACCTCCCATCCACTGGTTCCCGCCCCAAATGGCCACAAGGGCCCGGGACTTCTCCGGGTCCCCCTGGTGGGTGCAGGGGCCCAAGCACTCGTGCTGTCCTCCCTGCTTTCCCAGGCCATCAGCAGGCCCCTGTGCCCAGCACAGACCACCATGGTGCCTTGTGTCTGCTCACTTTGAGCTGCTGCCTGAGTAGGTGGGGACCCTCGTCTGCCAGGTAAGCAGGGTGTCGTGTGTCTGTACCCACAGCTGTGCACTGAAACTGTGATGAGCGAGGTGCATGCACGTGCTGCTGTCTCCTTCTGAATCAATAAAGTATTTCCTGGAAACTGGTCACTGTTGTTTGGATCAGAACCGTTCGGTAGCTCCTGGCTGCCCTGCTTTTCCTAAGCCGGCACAGTGCACGGTGGCAGCACAGCCCCCCACCAGGGCTTTGTGCAGGCCTGGGCGGGTGGGTCTGAGCGTGTGCGTGTGGGGGTGGGGTGCAGGAAGTATTCTCTTTCCCCCCATATTTGCCAAGTCTCTATCAGTTATACTTAAGAACTATCGTTTATTGACTTCCACACAGCTTTGTGTTCCAGCAGGTTTGGAAATTTGACAGAAGAGGGTTCCCGATTCACTCAGCAGTGAGGGGGTCAGTTGATGGCTTTGGGTTTGGAGGGCCCCTGCTTGTGCCCACACTGCTGGGCGCACAGCCCGTCTCTGACCGGCACGCACCCTCCCAGATACACGTGTCCCTGGCTCCTTGATTGCTCATCCTGTGTCCTGGTCTCATCGCTGCGTCTGAAGCCAGCCCTTCCACCAGGAAGACTGGGGACACAGCCCCGCGGGGCTCACCAGGGCTGTTTGCACAGCGTGGGGAACGTTGGCCCTCTGGGGGCTTGGAGGGGAGTGGGCCTGGCCACCACTCTCTTCTGTGGTGGTGGAGGGTGGTCTGGTACCCACCCTCCCGCCTGGTGGCTCGTCTGCACCGCCCTGCGGCTGCAGCCGGGTCTGCCACGCCTGGCACTCTTGGGGTTCGTGCTCAGAGCAGACGCCTGGCCCTATGCCCGTCCCCCAGACCCGGGACGTGGTCGGGACGTGTGGCCTTTGATGCCAGGCTGCAGGCCCAGTGTAGAGCGCGCTCTGGGGCAGTGAAGTGGCCTCTGAGGCGCAGGACAGGTGGAGTCCCAGTGCCCATGCGGCCCTGCGCCAGGCCAGGGCTGCGTTATGCTAAGGACTGGCAGCACTTGCATCCTGCTCCAGCCCACCCTAGGGAGCTGTGTGGAGATGCCGAGTGATCAGAGCCACCTTGGCTTTGCCGAGTGGGGCAGCAAAGGCCGAGCCCAGAGCAGCTGTCAGGTCCAGCTAGGTAGGCCTAGCGCTGGCTCGCCTGGGACCTGTGGTTTATCCACCTACCTGACTTTGGTTTGTGCCAGAAGCCTGACAGCAGCCCTTGTCATGGGACCTGTTCCTGTGCGAGGTGGCTCAGCCCCTTGGGGCCCCATCGGCTTCCCCCCGCCGAGCCCTTGCTGCTGCTGTGCGAAGCTGTCTAGCGGCGACTGAAAATCGATCCCCCTCAGGCTGTGCTGTGAATAAGTCAGGTGTTCCGGAGTAGCAGCTGCTGCGCACACCCAGCGGGAGAAGTTCTGTTAGAACACCCGTAGTTCACGCTCACAGAGAAGGAAACTGCTTGATCGGTTGCCAAGCAGGGGCCTGTGGGTGTGACGTCCCTTGTGGCCTGTCTGGCTCCCCGGCTGCCCGCCCTGTGCAGCCCCTCCCCCCACCGGCCCACTGTTAACCAAGGAGGGCTGGCAGAGGGCGTTTTGGGAGGCATGTCCGTGAGGGAGGGACGTGGCAGGGTGCTGGCCCGCGTCGGAGCCTGGGCACCGTGCCTGCAAAGTGCACGTGGAGACCTCCCACCGTGGCGGTGGGGGAGGGGAGCGGCAAGCTTCTCCCCCCGTGGGGCGGGGCCCGCCTCCCCCACCTGCCCAGCCTCTCCACAGCCATGACAGCTGTGGTTAGAACTGCGTGATGGTGCCCCAAAGAGCTCTGAAGACTTGTGATCATCTTTGGAAGTCACAGAGAGAACAGGAAGGTCTTAGTCCCCGTCTTGGTTGCAGGAAGGAAGCCTCTGTGTGCAGTGATCCCAAGGCAGTCCAGCGTGCAGTTGGCTGACTGCATCGATGACTCGTGTGTGTGTGTGTCCCAAGTTGGATTTTTGTGACTTGGAGGTTTGGGTTCCCCTCTTGGCATTCTTGGTTTATCACGTGTAGGGCTGGGGTCCATACTGGGACCGCAACATGGCTGATCCACGTTAGCACAATTCTAAAGAAATAAGGGCTTTTGAGCACAGATCCCCAGGCCACATGGCGGTAAGCAGAGACTTGAGCGTTAAGTAGTTCTTGATCCAGGAACGCTTGAACGTAAAAGGCATTTATTTTAGCCATTTCAGTCCACGTCTTTTTTTTCTTTTTTTCCACACTGCAATTCTGATGCCAGAGACTAATGGGTTTGCCTAATGACTTATGCCTTATGGATGGTTATGCACTGTTGTTGGTCACGCATTGCTCGTTCACTGTTAGAATGTTTTAGTGGGGTAGAGACAGGAAGGGCAGCTGAAAGGACAAGTAGCCAGATTCCGTGTACAACACGCGGCTGCTCCGTGGCCTGAGCCCTCCAGGCCTAGCGGTGGACGTTTGCATGGAGCCCCGCCTCCCCGAGGCTCTTGGAGCAGAAGCCCCTCCCACAGGATCTGACCCTGGGGGAGTCTGTTCACGGCTTGCGTGGGCTTTGGTCTGTGGCTGCCGCTCAGAAGGCCACGGTCAGGACTGGGGAGGTGGCCTCGTGCCGTCACGGATCGGAATCCCCCGGGCTCTTGGAGTAAGCTGCTCAGGTGTTTGGGTTTGTCCCAGTCTCCCTCTGCCTTTTCAACATTCCCTTGGAGAGAGCCCTGAATAAAACTGACCTCGCCGAGGGCTGGGACCAGATTTAGAATCTTAATACCAGTTTTGTTTTTCAGGTCTTGAGTGTCCGCGTCCCAATATCATCCTCGGGCTTGTGATCTGTCAAAAAATAAAACGCCCTTCAAACACTGCCGAGCTGGACAAGGGGGAGGAGAGGCGGAGCCGACTCCAGGACGAAGCTGACATCTCAGCAGGCCCCAAGGTCCCCGCGGCTCCCCTGAGCGACAAGAGGCCCTCCAGGTACCCGCTCTGCTCTGCAGACCCAATGGTCAGCACCACGCCCCCTGCATCCCCTCCGCCTCCGCCCCCTCTTCCAGAGCCGCCCGTGTCCAAAGTGCTGCCACCCCTCAAGCCTGGCTGCGCTGGCACCGTCTCGGTTCCTGCTGCGCCACCCGCGGCCCCGGCGGCCGCACCCCCGGCCGCTGCGCCGGCGTCCAAGACGGCCTCGCCGCTGGAACACATCCTGCAGGCTCTCTTCGGGAAGAAGAAGTCCTTCGACGCCCAGGCCAAGGAGTCTGGGGGGGCGGCCCCGGCTCCCCACCAGGACCCCAAGGCCCCCCCGCTGGACAGTGGGGCCCCAGCAGCCCCTCTGTTGGACCCCATCGTGCAGCAGTTCGGCCAGTTCTCCAAAGAGAAGGCTCCGGTGGAGGAGGAGGACGACAGGCCCTATGACCCCGAGGAGGAGTACGGCCCCGAGAGAGCCTTCGGCGCGCAGCCCGCCGCCCGGCCGGGGGCTCGCCGCGACACGGAGTCGGCTCCCGATGCGACGGAGCGGGAGGAGGTGGCCTACGACCCCGAGGATGAGACGATTCTAGAGGAAGCCAAAGTGACGGTTGACGACCTGCCCAACAGGATGTGTGCAGGCGCTGGGGCAGAGCCCGCAGAGAGGGCGGCGGGCTGCGCCCCTGACGCCCCCACCCCCTCCTTGGTGGAGCAGCAGAAGATGCTGGAGGAGCTGAACAAGCAGATCGAGGAGCAGAAGCGGCAGCTGGAGGAGCAGGAGGAGGCCCTCCGGCAGCAGAGGGCGGCCGTGGGCGCGTCCATGGCCCACTTCTCCGTGTCGGACGCGCTCATGTCGCCGCCCCCGAAGGCGGCTCTGACTAAGGGCGAGCTGCTGGAGCCCGAGCAGCAGCAGGCTCCAGACAGGTCCGCCGCGCCCGCCGCCCCAAATCCCGCGGCCCCCGTGGCGCAGCAGAGTGCGGACGCGCGGCAGCGGCGGGACCCGCGGCAGGCCAGGCGGTTGGCCGCGGAGAGTGGCGAGGCTGGGCCCGTCAAACCCCCAGCAGGCAGCAGCCAGCCAGGCCCTGCAGCCAGGGGACCTCCCGCAGGGGCTCCCGGGGTCCAGGGGCCCGTGCAGGCCCTGGAGGAGGAAGAGGCAACACCTCCTCCGTGGGTTCCAGGTGAAAAACCTCCACTGATGCCCACCCAGGACAGCCAGAGGGGCGAGTACTCCGGAAACCCCGGCCAGCTGCCCATGGAGGGCGTCCATCCCGTGGCAGCCGGGGACGGCCTGGCCAGACCTGCCCGCAGGGTGCTGCTGCCCACGCCCCCGAGTACCGCCCTGCAGCCCGGCTTCGCTCTGCAGAGCGACGGGCAGAACTTCTGCTCCCCCGCAGGGCGGGACCCCTTCCCCGGCCCCGCGTTCACGGCTCAGGAACGGCCTCTCGGTGGGGCCCCCTACGAGAGCCCCAGACACAGCCAGTGTGCCGGCAAGGGCAACGGCCCCGCCGCCGGCGCTGAGATGGGCAGAGAGCCCCTGGCCCGGGCTGGGGAGGGCCCCGCCCAGTTCCCCCTGCCTGGGCAGAAAGGGGGGGCGCCCCCGCCCCCGTTTCAGGGCCAGCGTGAGCCGGCCCGCCCTTTTGGGGTGTCGGCGCTTCACGGCTCCAACTTCCCAGGCCCGCGGGGGCCGGGCCCTTCATTTCCCGAGGAGAACGTCGTTCCGAGCGACGGGCCCAGGGGGCCTCCACCTGCCAGGTTCGGGGCCCAGAAGGGGCCCATCCCTTCCTTGTTTGCGGGTCAGCACGGGCCCCCTCCTTACGGGGACGCCAGAGGCCCTTCGCCCCCCTTCCTCGGCGGGCCACGAGGAGCAGCGCCGACCCAGTTTGAAGAACGCAAGGACCTCCACGGGGAGCAGCGGGACTTCCAGGACCCCCCGTACAGCGAGGCGCCCGGCCCGCCCGCCCAGTTTGAAGGACCAGAGCGAGCCCCTTGCGTGGGCAGCAGGGGCCCCGTGCCCTTCCAGTGTGGAGGCCAGAGACGGCCTCTGCTGTCTCAGCTCAAAGGACCCCGGGGAGGCCCCCCTCCATCCCAGTTTGGAGGCCAGAGAGGACCACCCCCTGGCCATTTTGTGGGTCCACGTGGGCCCCACCCTGGCCAGTTTGAAGGCCCCAGAGGCCAAGCGCCAGCCTTCATGCCGGGCCCCAGGGGGGTTCAGCCACAGCAGTTTGAAGAACAAAGAGTGAACTCGCCACCCAGGTTTGCAGGTCAGAGGGCACCCGCACCCCTGCCGTTTGCTGGGCCCAGGGGCTCTGCACCCTTTCCTGAGAAGAATGAGCAGACGCCGGCCCGCTTCCACTTCCAGGGCCAGTCCCCGCAGGTGCTGAAGCCGGGGCCCCGGCCGCTGCTCGAGCTCCCCAGCCACCCCCCGCAGCACAGGAAGGACCGCTGGGACGAGGCTGGCCCCGGCTCATCCGGACAGGGCCCCGAGGCCGAGGCGCAGTGGGCGTCTCCCGATTTCCGGGAGGCCAAAGGCCACGAGTACAGAGGCCAGGCTTTTGAGGGGAGGCCGAGAGAGCGCTTTGAAGCCGGACCCAAAGACAAACCAGTGGACGAGCCCGAAGCCCCAGTGCCCGAGAGTCGGCAGGGCCGGGGCTTCGAGGACAGGAGGCGGGAGCGAGAGCGCGGCAGGAACTGGAGCCGCGAGCGGGACTGGGAGAGGAGCCGCGAGTGGGACCGGCACAGGGACAAGGACTCCGGCCGGGACTGGGACCGGGGCCGGGAGCGGAGCGCCAACAGGGACAGGGAGCGGGGCCGCAGCCGCGACCGGAGCCGGAGCAGGAACCGCGACCGGGAGAGGGACAGAGACAGGAGACGGGACCGGGACCGCGAGAAGGCCAGGGACAGGGAGCGGGGCCGCGACCGGGACCGCAGGGACCAGGGCAAGAGCAAGGAGAGCGCGCGGGACCCCAAGGCCGAGGCCGCCTCTGCCCAGGCCTAGGGGCCCGGCCCACCCGGACCAGGGGGTCCTCCTGTGCGGACAGGCCCAGCCCCCACAGGTCCTTTCAAAAGCCAAGGTCATAAAATGCGTTGAACAAATAGTTTGAAATAGCTGTGAACGTAGACGCAGATAGCAGATTCTGGACTTCAGAAATGACTGTAATTTTGTGTATAATGGTTTCTTACAAAATTTCACCTCTTAAAATTCTGATACTTTTTTAAAAGTAAGAACTCTTTAATATTTCCATTTAAAATTACAGAAATGGGAACGTGTCCACAAAAGCATATTGCTTTTTGAGATTATAAAGTTATCTTTTCCAGTAACTTGACTGTTGTGAATTTTAAGGGAATCTCGGTGGGCCCTGGACCACACCACTGCTGGCTTCCCGCCTGTGGGGGCGTCGGTCAGCACAGGCCCTGGCCGCGCGCATGCCTGCGTGTGCCGAGCCGTGGCCGGGGTGGCCGGTGCCCGAGACGCGCGTCCGGAACGGTTAGGAACCCGAAACTTACAAATATATCTTTCTTTCGCTATAAAGAAATCTGAGTTACAAATTTCAATCCAGAAACCAAAAGATGAAGTTCGCAGTTTGGCTCAGTTTTTATTTGCCCCCTCAAAGGCGTTCTTTCAAAAACGTGACTTAAAGCCAGCATCCGTCCTAGTAGAGAAAGTCTTGCATTTGAAATAACAATTTGTTGAAAGATGTGAGAGCAAATCAACCCACAGGTGTACCTCGAGGGCGGGTGCACTGGGGTTTCACCGCCAGCAGCGCTTCCTGGGCCCCGGCTCCCAGCTCTGTTTCCCAGGTGACCAAATGGCACGGGCTCGCACAGTCAGCGCGGGGGCGGCCCCTGCGGCCCGGCTGATCCACCTGACTGCAGACAAGACTTCGGTAATTTTTTATGTTTTCATAAAACAGATGTAAGATGAGAGAGTTCGTGTCTTCCCTGCAGCCCCTTGCTCCATCGCGGTCGCCTCGCAGCGGGGGGCGGCGGTCAAGCCACGCGCCCGTCAACCGGCGTCTGGTAGGATGTGAAGGGTTCGGTTTTTGTTGTTTTTTTTTACATATAAAGCAAATTTTTCTAATTTAAATACACAAATGTAAAAATCAAGTGTGTTCCTTTAGGTTTACTTGATAGAAATTTCTGTAAATTGTATTTTATATTGCAGAGTATTATATCACTGTACATTAAACACGGGACTTGATAGGTTTTGTTACTTGAGCAGAATAAACATCCACAGAAAGTTCTCGTTTCCCGCCTCACTGAGCCTTCTAAGAGATGACAACTTGAAGTGCAGAGATGGGCCACCTGCTGGTTCACTCCCCAGACGGCCCAGTGGCCCAGGCCAAGCCGGGCCTCCCACAGCCCTCACCTGCTGCCCACAGGGCCTCCAGGACAGGGTGCCGTGGCCCCTGCAGGCGTCCACCCTGAGCCCGGGGAAGCTGCAGGCTGGGTGTGGGCGCCTTCTTGGGGCTCTGTCCTGACCTTGGACCAAGCCCCATCCATGACAGACGGGGCATGCAGGGAGGAGGGTTCCCCGCCTGGGCTCTGACCCGGGGTCCTTGGGTTTTCAGAGCAAGAACCACAAAGCCACAAGCCTCACGGGGAGCCACTGGCTACAGAGGTCAGGCACAGTGTGGCTATGGCCATGCCCCTTGGCCAGGGTCCCCCGCCCTGCCTGGCCCGTCCAGCTGCGCACCGCCCCCGCTGGGAGGGAGTGGGCAGGTGCCGACCTCGCCCTGGGACGTCGCCTGTCCCAAAGGCGGGCATCGCGAGTGTCGGTGTGGTGCTTTGGCCACGACTCAGCTTGTCAGCAAGTCCCTGTGTCCATGCCAGCTGTGAGCAGGTGCGCCCAGGGGACATCCTCATGAGCACACTGGCCAGCACAGGAGGTAGACAGGCGCCCGGGTCCGGAGGCCACAGTGTCCGGCAGGTGGAGCTCCCAGTCGACCACCTGCAGAGACGGGGACCGGGCACCCTGGGAGGACAGCTGCCCAGGATGGGAGAGAGGGGGACACACGGGCTCGAGGACGCACACCGCGGCCACTGCCCAGGCCCGGGACAGCCACGACGGGGCCGCAGTGGCTTCGGCTCCTCGACTTCTTCCTTCCTCTCCTCGCTTCAGTTGGGATTTCCACCTGCCACACGTGGGCAGCCCGAGGCATCCGGCGGACACACAGGTGTCACGGAATGCGCGCTCCCTGAAGATGGGTGGGGCGGGCCCCAGCGTCCACGGAGGAGCACGTGGGCAGTGACGGAGCTGCCCACGGGAAGGCAAGCCCGCACCCTGCCCAAAGGCCGAGGCAGGAGGCACAGGCCGCGGGAACGAGGGGCAGGGGCCCGGCGATGCCGCCCAGCGCCGGGCCCGCGGTCACCTGCGGCCCCCGGGCCCACCTCGTGCACACCCTGACCGCAGGCCGAGGCCGGCGTCCGGTTCCTCTGGGGAAAGCGGCTCCCTCAGTGCCCCGGAGACGGGCACCCGGCCCGGCCAGGGGCATCCGCGGGCACAGCGGGTGGGCGGCGCGGGAGCGGAGACGCCCCTTCTCCAGGAAGAGCAGCAGCGGGGGTTCTGGACACGCAGCCGGCAGAGCCTGGGCAGCTCCGGCCGCACCGGGGCCCAGGAAGGCGGGCGCCGCGGCGGTGGCGCCCCGGGACGAGCGCGGATCCCCCGCCGCCGTCTGCAGGCCGCGACCCCGCGAGTCCGCCCAGCCTCGGCGCCCTGCACCGCTCCCGCAAGCCCGCGGAGGTGCGCGCGCAGCCGCCGCTGAGGGCGTGGCCGGGCAGTGGGCGCTGCGCGCGCAGCCGCCGCTGAGGGCGTGGCCGGGCGCGGGCGTCGAGGGCCCGCGCGCGAGGCACGTGGCTCCCACCCGCGGAGGCGCGCGCAGCCGTCGCTGGGGGCGTGGCCCCGCCTAGGGGCGTCGAGGGCCCGCGCGCGTGAGGCACATGGCACCACCCCCCCGGAGGTGCTCGCGCAGCCGTCGCTGGGGGCGTGGCCAGGCACGGGCGTCGAGGGCCCGCGTGTGAGGCACGTGGTGCCCGCCCGCCCGTCGGCGCACGAGGCGCGTCCTGTCGGGCCGCAGAGGTGCGTGCGCAGCCGCCGCGGGGCGGCGGGGGCGGGGCGGCCAGGCGGTTGGGCCGGGGGCGGGGCGGCGGGTAACGGAGGGGCGTGGCCGGCGCAGGGGGTGGGGTTACCGTTGCGGGGCGGGGCGGCGCAGGCGCACTGCGCGGCGCTCACCGGTTTCCCGCCCCCCAACGGCGCGCCCGCGGTGGCCGGCGCTGCGTCCGGCGTCCTCTCGGGCCGGGTGGCCGGCTGCCCCGCCCGCGTCCCGCGTCCGCCGCCCCGTCCCGCGTCGCCGCCCGCGTCCCCGCGCCCCGCCGCCGTTGGGCCGCGCCGCGCCGCCATGTCGGGCCCCGGGCCGCGGGAGCCGCCGCCTGAGGCGGGCGCGGCGGGCGGCGACGCGGGCCCCGAGGGCGCGGGCGGCGGGGACGCGGCGCTCGGCGAGCCGGGGCTGAGCTTCACGACCACCGACCTGAGCCTGGTGGAGATGACGGAGATCGAGTACACGCAGCTGCAGCACATCCTCTACTCGCACATGGAGGCGGCCGACGGCGAGCTCGAGGCGCGCCTCAGCTCGGCGCTGCTGGCGGGCCCGGGCGCGGGCGCGGGCGCGGGCGTGGGCGCCGCGCCGCCCGTCTACCCGGTGCTGTGCCCGCCCGCGCTGGCGGCCGACGCGCCCTGCCTGGGCCACATCGACTTCCAGGAGCTGCGCATGATGCTGCTGAGCGAGGCGGGCGCGCCGGGCGCGGGCGCGGCCGAGAAGACCCCGGGCGGCGCGGACGCGGCCGGGGCGCGGGCCCGGCCCGACGGCGCCAAGGAGGGCGCCGCGGCCGCGGGCCCCGACGGCGCCCCCGAGGCCCGGGCCAAGTCGGCCGTGCGCGTCCGCCTGGAGGACCGCTTCAACAGCATGCCCGCCGAGCCGCCGCCCGCGCCGCGCGGCCCCGAGCCCCCGGAGCCGCCGGGCGTGGCGCTCAACAAGTGCGTGCGGCGCGGGGCGCGGGGCGGGGCCGCCGGGGTGCACCTGCCGCTCACGTGCCGGGTTGTCCTTTGCCTGGCAGTTTGGTGACTCTGATCCGACACCCGTCCGAGCTGATGAACGTGCCCCTGCAGCAGCAGAGCAAGTGCACGGCGCTGGTGAAGAACAAGAGCGCGGCCGCCACGGCGCTGCAGTTCAGCTACCCGCTCTTCACCACCGGCGCCTGCTCGGCGGGCGGGCCCTCGGGCCTGGCGCCCACGCAGGTGCGGCCGCACGGGCCGCTGGCGCGTCAGGGCCCCCGGCGGGCCGCGGCGCAGGCGGTGAGGCCGCTGTCGCTTCCTTTCCCCGCAGAGTTCGGGCGGCGCCTGCTCCATGCTGGAGGCCGCCAAGCACCAGGACGTGGGCCTGCCCCGCGCCTTCTCGTTCTGCTACCAGCAGGAGATCGAGTCCACCAAGCAGACGCTGGGGAGCAGAAACAAAGCGCTGCCCGAGCAGGTCTGGATCAAAGTGGGAGGTAAGATGGGGCCGCGCGGCCGGTGCTGGGCGCCCTCTGGGCCTCGGGCAGCGGGGGCGACAGCGGCTGCTCGTGGGAGCCCCGCCGGTGTGTGCGGCTCAGGGGCCCCCGTCGCGTCGGCATGTCCTGGATCCCAGCGTTGGAGCCGAGGACTGGGAGGGGCTCCACCCGCCGTGCCTTGGTGGACGCACGGGGTTCCCGGTTCATCAAGGTCCAGGAGCACCCGCGAGGCAGGGGTCTGGTGTCCACCAGCGCCGGGGGAGGGGGCCAAGGAGACACGGCCCTCAGTGGGCAGGGGGCCCTGGGGGCTTCAGAAAGTTCCGGAGTTCAAGAAACCGCCGAGGAAGGGGTGCCTCCCGCCTTGCGAGTTGACCCGGGCCCTTGGAGCTTAGTCCTGAGTCCTCCCAGCAAAACGACGGCTTAGGCCGTCCGAGCCTGGAGACGCTGGGCTGGGGGTGCGGCCCCGGCCGTCCTGTGGTTTCTCCCTGTCATGTGTCTGGGGCAGAAGTGAGCGTCGAGCAGCCCCTGGGCGGTGCCTGTGGGCAGGGGTCAAACACGGCCGAGCCCGCGCCGGCCAAACCAGCACTGGGGCCCAGGGCCTCAGGGTGCGGCAGGTGGCTGGTGAGCAGGGAGCCCGCGGCGGGGGCACTGTGTGCTGTGGGCCGACGCGGCTGAGGGAGCACCCCGCCCCCTCCTGGGTGTCAGAACGCGGCTGAGGGGGCACCCCCGCCCCCTCCTGGGGTCAGAACAGCGTTGTCCCATTAGGGTGACTGTATGTACAGAGGGTCTGGTCTGCTGGCGAGAGGGGGGCTTGTGACAGGTGAGCTGCCCCACAGCACGGGGAGGGGCTGGCGTGGGTGTGGCAGCTGGACCAGGGTCAGAGTCACTTCTGCGCGGCCCGCCCCGGGGTGTTGGAACGCGTGCGGCGTGGGCGGGCACAAGGCAGGGGTGAGAAACTGAAACAGCGCTCTCGTCTTCTTCCGCAAGAAGAAGCGCTATGTAAACAGGCCATCAACAAGCGGAATCGGAGTCGGATCCGGCAGCTGGACGCGAGCACGGAGCGCAGAGCCCTCGGGGAGATCCAGAACGTGGGCGAGGGCCCCGCGGCCGCGCAGGCCTGGCAGTCCTCGGAGTCCTCGCAGTGCCCCCTGGGGGAGCAGGCCCAGAGCGGGCCCCAGGGCGGGAGGTCCCAGCGCCGGGAGAGGCACAACCGGATGGAACGAGACAGAAGGTACCGCGTGTGATCATCGGGTCGGCGTGTGGCTGTCGGGTCGGCATGTGCCTATCGGGTCGGCGTGTGGCTGTTGGGCCGGCATGTGGCTGTCGGGTGGGCATGTGACCATCAGGCCGGGGTGTGGCTGTCGGGTCAGCGTGTGTGGCTGTTGGGCCCGTGTGTGATCATCGGGTCGGTGTGTGGCTGTTGGGCCGGCACATGGTTGTCAGGTCGGTGTATGGCTGTTGGGCCGGCGTGTGGCTGTCGGGTCAGCGTGTGACCATCGGGTTGGCGTGTGACTATTGGGTCGGCACATGGTTGTCGGGTCAGTGTGTGGCTGTCGGGCCGGCGTGTGACCATCGGGTCGGCATGTGGCTGTCAGGTCGGTGCATGGCTGTCGGGTCGGCGTGTGTGCCGCCGCCCTGGAGCTGGTGCTTGGCAGAGAGCGCCGTTAGCCACATGCTCGGGGGCGAGCAGCATCACCAGGGCGTGGCCTGGCGGGTCAGCGCCCCCAGGACCGCCCTGGCCTCAGTGAGGGCCCACAGAGGCGCATGGGGAGTGGGTGTGGGGGAGACCGGGCCCGCGCCCCCAGGCGGCCTCTCCCAGAGCCAGCAGCAGCAGGCTCGAGGGAGACCCAGGGCCCGGGGCTTGCTGGGGGCCATCGCGTAGGCGGCGTCTCCCTGGCACGCGGCTCGCAGCTCCCCAGCGGAAGGCAGGTGCTGAGCACCGACCCTGGGTGCCGGGGGCCACCCTGACTGACCCCGGAGCGCTGTGGTCCAGGAGCCGGTCCAGGGCCCGCCGGGCACACACGGACCACTTGGTTCTGCATTTTGATTTGCTCTTTGGAGAACGCTGGGGAAGGAGGAGTTCGGGGCACTGAGTTGGCTCGCGCGTGGGTTTACTTGTGCTGCTCTCTGTGAGCTGGGCTTTCCCGCGGCGTTCCCAGCGTTCCCTCCATGTGCAGGTAAAGGGCCGGACTGGTCGCTGTCTCCCGCTCGGGCAGTGACGCGGAGCCAAGTCCTCAGCTTTCTGCTGCGTGTGTGCGTGCGGCGTCCGTGCGACGTGCAGATTGGAGGACGCGGCGGGGCTGTGCGCACGCACTGCGGCTGAGGCCCTCCTGGGCTCACTGTGGGCTGCGCCGGGCGCTGTGTCTGCCGTGGACAGGGACCGAGCGCCTGCGGGAGAGAGGCCTTTGCCGCGTGTTCGCTGTGGGTTGTGACCACACTTGATTCCACGCCGTCTGCAAGTTCATTGCCTCTGCCCTGGGGTCTGCTGTCTGCACAAGGAGCAGAGCCGGCGTGCGGCTGCAGGGAGAGCGGCCGTCCCTCGTGCAGCGGCAGCTGCGCCCCCGCCGCAGTCCTCGGTCCGGCCTCCCACGTGTGAGGTCTGGAGGGGGTTCCGCCTGGCCCAGCCTGGCTGTCGTGGACATTTGGGGATGGGCCAGCAGATGGGAGGTCCCTGTGTGTCTCCCTTTCAAATAAAATGGAAATAAGTAAATTTCAAAAAAGGTTGTTTTAAAAAACGCTCTAGTCACACAGGAGTGAGGAGGACCCGTGCGGCCGCTGAGGGCGGTTTATTGGGGACTTTGTGACTTGCTGAGCGCAACACGGAATCGTGTAAACCGCAAACTAAGTCGCGAGCTGGGCTTTAAATGGCCTCCGAGAGCTGCGTCTCAGGACGGGGGGGGGGGGGGGGGGGGTCTGCCCGGGCCCTGGCGCCTGCAGAGCGGCGGCTCCTCCGAGTGGCAGGATGCCGTGCCGGGTGCACACGCGCGCTCAGCGCCGGGAGCCTCTGAGCCTGGCCCTCGGGAGGTCGGCAGGGGAGGCTGCAGGCCGTGTGCAGGGCCGGGGCCGCTCTGGGCAGCCTGGGCCAGCAGCAGCGGGACCCGAGAGCAGGCCTCAGGCACGTGCAGCCGCTGGCTGGGACGCTGGCTGCGTTTCTCCCGCCTCAGCCTCCGTGTGACGCCTTTGGATTTTGACTGCAGGCGCAGAATCCGCATTTGTTGCGACGAGTTGAATCTCTTGGTTCCGTTCTGCAACGCGGAGACGGACAAGGCGACGACGCTGCAGTGGACCACGGCGTTCCTGAAGTACATTCAGGAGCGGCACGGAGACGCCCTCAAGAAGGTCAGTGCTCAGCGGGCCGCGGGCCCTCGGTGGGGCACGACTGCCCGCGAAGCGGCCTTCCCACGCCTGTCGCTCCCGAAGACGGACGCCCGGTCCCGGCGGCAGCGCGAGCAGAGCCTCCCGGGGAGGCCGCCCGTCGCTCCCGAAGCAGTGACCCTGTCCGGCGACACTGAGCACCTGCTCTGTGCTGGGCCCCAGGGGCCTGGTGACCTGGGACGAGCCACCGCTCCCTGGGTCTCGTCTGCGTGGTTGTCAGCTGTGGGCCAGCCTGCTCTGCTCTCTGAACGCACAGGTGGTTCTGAGGGGCGAGGGGCGGCAGTCGTGGGCGCCTGCCTTGGGGGGACTTCAGGTCCAGGTTCCGGCGTCAGAAGTCCAGTCGCCGAGGCTGGTGGCTTTGTCGCTCCAGGAGTGACTGTCAGGCCTTAGGGATGTGACCTGTGGGGTCCTGTGTGCCTTGCCCAGTCCGTCGGCGGGCACTGCTGCTGGCCCAGCAGGAATCGGACTGGAGAAGGAGCTGGGGTGGCCGCCGGAAGCGTTCCTGGGAGTGCCCCAGTGGGCCGTGCGTGCGCAGGTTCTCACCCCCCCACCCCGCCGTGTCCGCGTGGCAGCCGCGTCCGGGTCTCCTTGTTTCCCGTTCTTTATTTTCCTTAGACCTCGAGTTGCGTTTTCCAGCCGCGCTGTGCTGTGCGGCGTCGTTCTTGGGTATTTCAGTGCAGTTACCCCCGCGTTACTCGTTAGAGGTCTGTCACTCGGAAGTAGAACCCCTGTCGTCACTGTATGCTTACGCTCAAAGATTAGATAAACTCGGTTACGTGGACACGGTGGCTTGTTCTGAGTCAGGTCGTTGGGCCCGTCAGGGGTCAGCTGACGAGAAGCCAGTCAGCGTTGTCAGGCCTGTCAGAGTGCACGCAGCCCGAGCACGTGTAGGCCGGCGCCCAGCGCGTGTACACGGCCCAAGCACGTGTAGGCCGGCGCCCAGCGCGTGTACACGGCCCGAGCACGTGCACGCACGCATTTCCATGGCAACTTGCCCCCCTTCGTGGGCACTGTTGTCTTTACAGATGTGATGCTGAGGTTTTGAGGCGATTTTTCTGGGTGGTTTCAGCGTGCATTTCACGCGACAAGTCTCTCTCCGTCCGAGGCGTCTGTTCAGGCATGGAGGGTCCTCTGTGGGCGGCTCTGTGGGACTGCACAGGGACTGGGTGTCTGGCTGAGGCTGGGGGTGAGTAGGAGCTGGGGTTCCACAGATGTTCAGACAGTGCCACGGCTGTGTTTGGGGGCCACCACAAGCAGCCACGTGGCCAGGGTCTGGGGCAGAGGCGGACTGGCCAGGCATGCTGGGCTGGAGGCTTCCTGAGGGTCAAGGCGCCCCGAGATCTGACAGCCTTTAGAGCCATCCCTGGCCGCCGTGGGGGGGGGGGAGACACGCCTTGGCCACAGGACGTGGCAGGAATGAGGCTTCCCTGCGTGTCGATGGTTAAGCGTAGCTGGGAGGGCGTGAGCTGACCGGCACAGCTGGGGGCTGGGGGTGCGGCCGGTGGGGAGTGGGGAGCGTGTTGCCGACCAGCCGGGGGCAGGCGTCCCCAGCAGACAGCCACTCGTGTGTGTTCGGATGCACATGATGTGCAGATACTGTGGACGCCCGTGTCCGTGCCCCGACCTCAGCAGCTGACGCTGACCGTGTGCACCTTGTGTGCGCACAGCTTCACGCTCAGAGCCCGGGTCTTCCTCTCGACTGTCTCACGCGTCTCAGGATGGCTCCTCCTGGTGCCGCGCCCGCGCCCGCACTGCCCGAGGATGATGGCATCCACCTCATGCCTGTCCCTGCACGTGGCGTTGGTGCGCTTCTGCCCTCACCCAGAGCACGCCGTGGCTGGCGCTGTGTGTGTCGTGGCCCGCGCCGACGGCCCGGGCGGAGACGGGGGCCGAGGCCGCTTGTCTGCAGGACGCACTTCCTGGGGCTCCGGCTGCTTACTGTGATTTCGGTTTCGGCATCATTTCAAGCCCAGACACATTCAGAGTTGCGCAGAGAGCTCCGTCCCTACCGCCGCCCACGCGTGGCTCTCGCGTGCCTGGACCTGGGTTTGGCCATCGCAGGAGGGGTTAGGTGCCCTGTTGATCCATTCAGGTGCTGCCTCTGTCCCGGTAACGTCTGCGTGCTTTTCCCTGGAGGAACTGGGCCAGCCACTGACCGGGCCCACTTGTGACGAGCCTCAGCACGGCCCCGCACGCTCCCTGTCCCTGTCGGCAGTGGCAGCCCACCTGCCCGGCTGCCCCCTCGTCACAGGGCTGGATCCTCCGGCCACACTGGAGTCAGGCCCTCACTGCTGCTCTGAGCCTGGCACCGACGACGTAGGGCCTGCCCCGCCCCTGCTCACTTTGCCTGTCGCTGTCCTGGGGGAGCGCTGGACAGGGATCCCTGCCAGCAGTAAGCCCTTGGCCCTCGTTAGCTGCCGAGTCAGGTGCCCCCTCCCCACCCTCTCCTAGACCCACATCCCCGTCAGCCTCTGGGTGCGGCCCCCCTCTGCCTCCTGTGTAGCCAGCCGCGGGATGAGAGGGGACCTCGTGGCTTTCTGAGTAGCACGGACACACGCCACAGCCTCCGGGATGAGCCCTCCCTGCCGGCAGCTGGTCTGTGCCCGGGTTCTCCACGTTGCGGAGCCCAGGCTGTGCGTGCCGTCCTGGAGCTGGGCAGCTGAGGGACCTGGAGAGCCCCCCCACATCTGTGTCCAGTGTCCTTGGCTCTCGTGGTCAGTAGGGTGCCTCCCCTGCCTGCACGCTTGGCCCCCCAAGTCTGCAACCAGCCTCGCCCTCCAAACAGGAACTCCCTCCCCCGTCTTTTGCCTCCAGGATAGGGAGGACAGTCCTCGCACAGGGCGAAGGCTGGTTCTGTTGAGCGCCCCGGTATCCGTATTCCCGGAGCCCGGAGCCGGACGGTCTTTGGGTGCCCGGCGGCTCTGCCTCCGCCAGCCCGCGTCGCCCCTCCCAGGCTCGTGTTTGTGAACCAGCCCTGCCCTGCGTGTCGTGTGAGTGGGGTGTGGACGGTCACCTGACCTTTGTGACGTGCCCGTGGCAGGCCATTCTGCACAGAGACCCAGCCCACAAGAGAAGTAGTCACCAGCAGGTGGGGCCCGCACAGGATATCCCGGCCTCTAGCAGGCTGTGAGCACCGCGACCTGCCCGGGGCGCGCTCTGAGGGCGTGGGCACTGACGCGGTGGGTGCTGCCCTGGACCTCCGAGGCCGTCTGTCGCGTTCAGTGCTGCGTGACTTCTCTGAGGAGGAGCAGGACGCCAGGGGCTCTGCCTGTCTCCGTGTGTGTGTGGGGGGGGGTGGTGTGACAGGTGCCTCAGCTGGCGTCAGCGGGAATTAAGGGGCCCCAGGGACGGCTGAACCCCATGTTCGCAGGGCTGGCCCCGGCGCAGCCTCGGGGCAGGCTGAGAGTCCCCGTGGAAGCTTTGAGGGCTGTTGGACGGGGACTTTTGTCTGCTTTGGGGACACGCTGTTGAATGAATGTAGCTTGCGTGTGGCTGCTGCAAAAGCTGTGTTGGGATCTGTTTTGAAAATCAAGTCTGCTGTCTGTGCCGATGAATCTACCCCGTGTTACCCTTGGGCCGTCCTGAGCTGCCGGGGCCCCCGTCACCCCTGCTGGGGGTGCATGTCTTTTCTGTTGAAATTTGCTTTTATCTTGATCATTCTTTAAAACCTTGGATCTGTGTTTTCCTTTCTCAAGTTTTAGTTTTTCCCAGTGTGCTGAGTTGAGTTTGCTTTGTTTGCTTAGTGCCCGGTGCATTGGGGTGCATTGGAAGCGGGTTTCTGTGTTGCCCTGGGGAAGCGCGCCCCAGGCTGGGCTGCGATCTCTGGTCGTCGCGCCGTCCTTCGTATCTTGCAGTTTTCATTTGTTTGCCTCTTCGAGCTGTGAGTTCTCTCGAAGTCCATTTTTAATTTTCCATCTGCGCAGGTTTTTTTTTTTTTTTTTGACAGAGTTAGAGAGAAAGGTCTTCCTTCCGTTGGTTCACCCCCCAAATGGCTGCTACGGCTGGAGCTGAGCCGATCTGAGGAGCCAGGAGCTTCTGGGTCTCCCACGTGGGTGCAGGGGCCCAGGCACCTGGACCATCTTCCACTGCCTTCCCAGGCCTTGGCAGAGAGCTGGACCGGAAGTGGAGCAGCCATACTGGATGCTGCACTGCAGGCGGCGGCCTCACCGGGACACCACAGCGCCGGCCCGCGGAGAGGATCCTGGGTCGTCATTCCAGTTGAGGAGGCCCAGTGAGGTCCGTCTGTCCACTGCGTCTTGGTCACCACACTCTGTCCCTGGAGGGACAGCTTCAGCCTGACGCATTCCCGCCGGCCTGCAGCAGAGGCCTTGCGCGGCCTCGTGGTTGTATGGAAATGGTTTGGAGAGTCTCAGGTGCCCTCTGACGTCTGAGAAGTGGTCATTTTCTCCCTTTCATGGAGTGATTCTAAAAGGCAAATTCTGCTCTGCCAGATTCAGGGAGCTACTTTGTGTCTGCTTTAGGTGTCAGGTGTAGGCAGTTAGCGAGATGTGCTTCATCTTAACTGCATCCTAAAGCCTCTGGAGGCCTGGGAGAGCCGGAGTCTGTTCACGTGCGGACACAGCTCCCGCGCGCACTGTGGTGTCGGCCGGCCTTGGTGTCGGTGTCGGTGTCGCCCGCAAGCCCCTTCCGCTTCTCATCTGGAATCAGATGTGAACTGAACGGAAGTCAGCAGCAAGGAAGGACGTGCAGGTGGACGTCTCTCCGAGGGAGACACGCCGGTAGGCAGGAAGCGCACAGGGAGGCGCCGCTCCATAGCCACCAGTGTGGCCGTCGGCGAGGACTGGAGCAGCCCGGACCCTGTGCGCTGCTGTGGGGATGGCAACGACGCAGCCCTGGACAGCTACGGCAGTTGCTCAAAAAACTGAGGCTAGAACCAGCGCCCGGTCGGCCAGTCCTGTCCCAGAGCCGGAATGATGCTGTCCGGGAATGCTCTTGGCGGCAGCAGCCCAGGCCGCCACCGGCAGTGAGCGCACGAGCCGGCGAGCCCCGCGCCTGCCTCGGCGTGACGACGCGAGCGTTCTGCCGAGTGAACTGAGCCAGCTCCAGGAGAAGCAGTGCCGTGTGATTGTAGTGCGTGGGGCCCCGAAGTCGTCGGAAATCGCAGGCAGAGGGAACACGCGCGCTCCGCCCAGAGGCTGCCGGGAAGTGAGCGGGGGGGGGGGGGGGGGGTTAGGGTGTGGCCAACGCAGGCAGCCGAGGTTGATTTTATCAGTAGCAGGAGAGCCATCCCGTGCCCTAGAGCTGCCAAACCCGGGAATCGCAGAGGGAATTGAAGAGGACACGCACAGAAAGGGAAGGTGTCCCGTGTCCGTGAGCTGGAAGAATCGTTACTGATGCGGCCACACTGCCCAAGCGATTTACACACTGAGTGCAGCCCGTCAGAACTCCACGGCGTTGTTCGGAGAAGTGGAGAAACACTGCTAGGATTTGTGGAGCCACACAAGCCCCTGAGCGGCCGCGGTGAGCTGAGCAGAGACCCGCGGTGGACGCGTCTCGATCCCTGACCGCGGAGCAGCGGACGGGACGCACAGCCCGGCAGAGGACCGGGAATCCGTGGGCTCCGCCGACTGACTGACACGGTGGAAGGGGCAAGTCTGGAGCAGCTGGTGCCGGGGAAGTGGGGTGTCCACGTGCACAGGAAACACAGCACCTGACCCCGTCCCTCACCAAATTAAAAGACAAATTGGGGCCGGCGCTGCGGCTCACTGGGCTGATCCTCCCCCTGCGGCGCCAGATTCTAGACCCCGGGTTCTGTCCCGGTTGCTCCTCTTCCAGTCCGGCTCTCTGCTGTGGCCCGGGAGGGCAGTGGAGGATGGCCCAGGTGTTTGGGCCCTGCACCCCATGGGAGACCAGGGGGAGGCGCCTGGCTCCTGCCTTCAGATCGGCAGTAGCTCCAGCCGTTGCGGCCATTTGGGGGGTGAACCAACGGAAGGAAGACCTTTCTGTCTCTCACTAACGCTAGCTGTGGAAAAAAAAAAAAAAAAAGGCATATGGAAACCTGCAGGCACGAGCCCCCTGGCTTCCCTGTCCTTCATCCTCCCTGCTGTAAAGCTTCCATTCAGAACAGGGCTGTGTGAGGACGCGGCCAGGACGTCCTCGCCGCTCTGGTGGCCTCCCTGACCTGGTGGCCAGCGCTGTCCGCGCCCCCGTGGCCTCCCTGACCTGGTGGCCAGCCCTGTCCGCGCCCCCGTGGTCTTCCTGACCTGGTGGCCAGCCCTGTCCGCGCCCCCCGTGGCCTCTCTGAGTCGGGATCCAGACCTCGTGCTGGGTCGACGGCTGAGATGCGTCTCAGCCTGCGTCAGTTCCCGTCCTCAGGAGTGGGCGGTTTTCCCGCCCTGCACGTCGGCCGTGCTGTCTTTCCTCCCGTGGAGGGGTGGGTGCCCTGAAGTCTTGATGGGACCCGGCTCTGCGTGTGGTGTTCCTCAGGAGGCCCGGTTTGAGGCTGACGCAGCCATTGCAGTGCCGGCTTCTTAGAGCTGGCGCGCCAGGAGCTCGCCCCACGGGAGAGCCACAGCGCCGCTGCCCGCTGTCCGCGGTTGGCAGGGGTGACTGCCGAGCCGGCACTGGCGCCACTGGTGCTTTAAGTGGTGCGTTTTGTGTTGGTTTTGCCACAGTCTAAAAGTGGCTGCGTGGAGCTGCTGGAGAGAAGCCCGAGTCCCTGTCTGTCGCGGGCGCCCTCCCGAGGGGACAGGAATCGGGGTGACACGGCTCCGTCTCGCGACGCAGCCCCATCTTAGCAGCCGTGCTTGCGAAGAAAGTGCACTAACGATCCCGTCTTGGCCCTAGGAATTTGAGAGTGTGTTTTGCGGTAAGACCGGCAGAAGGCTGAAGCTGACCAGGCCGGACTCACTGATCACCTGTCCCGCACAGGGCAGCCTGCAGGGCAGCCCCTCGATGGAGATCAAGTGACGGACTGAACAGGAGTCCTCAGGCAGCGAGCGGCCGTCCCTCCGCGATCCAGAGGGTTCCCTGGTCCTGGAGCTGACCGTCTGGCTCGAGGGGGACCCGACTCAGGTTGATGGGCTCCAGCAGGGCCCCTGAGAGCACACTCTGTAGAACAGGCTCTCCTGGCACGCAACACGGCCCACGCACGGCCCACAGGCTCCCCGGGCTCCAACATGGCCCACGCACGGCCCACAGGCTCCCCGGGCTCCAACATGGCCCACACATGTTATGACAGCACACTCTGCCGTCTCCACACACACCAGCCCACACACGGGGCCGCTGTCTCCCCTGGCACACAACACCGGCCCACTCGTGGCCCGTGAGAGCGCGCTCTGCCTGTCTCACACAACACCGGGCCCCGTGGAAGCACACTCTGCCACAGTCCGCACGCAACACCAGCCCACTCGTGGCTGTGAGACCATTCGGGGTGATGACATCTTGACAATTAGTAATTTTCAGTGATCTGATTGCATCATGTTTCCTCAACATGATACCTGGAAGGGTTACATCCTGTGTAATTTCTTTCGTCCTAGAAGGTGCCTTGCTTTTTACTTATTTCATTTACATTTTAAACCTGCCCCTCCAGCAGCTGGAACAAGTTACATTGTTCTTAGGTAGTAGTAGTTCGGAAATTTTATTTGCTTTGTTGTCGCTCCCCTTGGTGACGGCGCCGTGCTGCAAGGGGCGGTCCTAAATAAACTCCCCAGAGACCCCTGCAAAGCCACTCCGTCCGTAAGAGCGATATTGTCAGTAGAACGCTCAGTGTGCGCATTCCACACTGAGAGTCATTATTTTATGTGCAATAAACTGCAGTGTTTGGACCCGAGTTTTCCAATGAGTGGCTTTATTACAACAGACCAAGCCTTTAGTGCAGTCTGCACGCGGCTGTGGGTGGGGTCCGGTTCTCTGGCCGGGACGCCGTCCGGATTTCCTGTCAGACTGCGGCCAGCGCCCTGAGCGTTCGTACCGTTTTATTGGGGTCGCACCGTAGCCTGCACACGTGTCGTGTAAACACTGCCGAGTGACCCCATCGCACGGGAGTGTGCACAACTCGGCCCGACACCTCCCAGCCCTCGAGTGTCGGGTGGCAGTCACCACCCAGGCCTGCGTCTGAGGTAAGACGTCACGGGTGAACGGGGGGGGCCCGGCGTCCACTCGGCCAGCACTGAGGCCAGGCCAGCCCCCAGCGCTCCCGGCGACGGCGCGCTGCTCCCGGGGAGCCCTCTCCACGCTCTGCTGAAGCTGTGGTCGCCGCCGCCTCACTTGGTTCAGTTCTACTTCAGGAGCTTCTGGGACCTGATTTTTCCCCGCCCCCTCCTAACACGGCTCCTTGGCAGGCCGAGGTGTCGCAGATCCCTGGAGTCCCCTGCGCACCGACGGCCCCGGGCAGGCCGGGATCCCCGGGCAGGCCAGGCTCGCCGTGAGCGCCGTCTTGGCCGTCTTTGCTTGCGCCAGGCATGCCTTGGGGTCCTGCGACAGAGTGGGGAGGTGAGCAGCGCCAGGCACCCAGCCCCGGCTCCGACTCGAACTCTGGAGGCTGGGGAGGTGGCCGAGTCCAGGGCTGGAATCGCCTACAGCTGGGGCTGCCGTCCACCTGGAGGCCACACGGAGGCGACAGAAAGCCTCGCAGGTGGGGACATGGGGCCCTGGGTGGAGGCAGAGCTGGAGTGGACAGGCCTGTGGGTGCAGGTGAGGGTCCCGAGCCGGGCACTGGGGGAGGGGCTGGGCATTACAAAAACGGACCCTCCAGGGACTGGGGTGTGGCTGTTGAAGCCGCTGGTTGGGGGCCAGGCACGGTGGCGCAGCCGGTTACGCCGCTGCCTGGGATTCCACGTCCCACGCTCGAGGGCCGTTTTGAATGTCGGCTGCTCCGCTTCCTGGCCAGCTTCCGCTAACGTGCCCTGGGAGGTGGCGGGTGACGCGGAAGTGCCTGGACTCCTGCCACCCACGTGGGAGAGCGGGATGGAGCTCCTGGCTCCAGATGGTCCCGCCTTAGCTGCTGTGGACATTCAGGAAGTGAAGCAGCAGATGGAAGCTCTGTTAGTCTACCTACCTATGTATCCCACCCCCCTTCAAATAAGTCTTTAAAAAAAGACTGGCGAGGAAGCCCATGCCCGGGGGTCCTGACTCCAGCTTCCTGCACACACAGGGATGGCTCAGGTGGCTGGACCTGGCCGGAGCTCTTGGCCCTTTGCTTCATCCCGGGCGCTGGTGGGCGTCCGGGGCGTCAGTTAAGCAGATTTAACGGAACATTCTTGGCTAAGGGGACCCTTGAGGCAGCTCCTGACCTGGCCTCCGGGGAGGCAGGGAGGGCACGTCCTCCCTACGAAGAGGCACGCTCGCACCCCGGGCCGCCTACAGTGCGGCGCCGTGACCTCCTACCTTGCAGTCCCTGGTCTCCGTCAGGCCCGTCCAGCCCGGAGCCCGCCGCGCCTTTGTCTCCACGGTCCCCTGGGCTCCCTGTGGCGAGGACACAGGGTGCTGGGGTGTCTGCGGGGGGCTCGTCCGGCAGAGAAGCCGGCCGTGCAGGCCCGACAGTCCGCAGAGAGGCCCCAGCCTCCAGCCACGGGCAGCCCGGCTCTGCTGGAGGCACCGTGCCACCCAACAGCTGACCCAGGGTGCTGGGGCCCCCCACTACTCGGGTCGCACACCTCCCGGCCTGGGAGCCCCCGTGTGGTGAGAGCGCTGGGGAAACCCCGCCTTGTGACGTCAGAGGGGCCAGCCGACGCTCGCCGGCAGCACGCAGACTGTTCTAGAACCTTGCTCCTGGTAAGCGAACCTCGCGGTCAGCACGTGAGGGCGCTCACCCCAGCAGCCCCCCCCCCCCGGGCTCTGGGTTAACCCTCAGTGCTGCGGCCGTGTGCGCCGTCAGGCGTGGGTCACGCGGCGGCCACCACTCCCCCACCGTTACACCGGGAGGGAGGTCAGAGGTTGGCCTCCCAGGCGGGACAGTGGCCCCGTGCAGCGGGCGGGCGTGGGCGGGCCCAGGCACAGTGGCAGGGTCTCCTGTTGGACCTGCGGCCCGGCTGTGTGAAGTTAGTGGGACGTGTGGTATGGAAAACCTGCGCGTGGACTCGGAATTGTTTTGATATCAAACAATTCCACTCTGCACGACGTCCTCTTGAAGCCCGTGTGTGCGTGCACACGTGTGTCTGCGTCTGGCTCTCCACGGGCCGGCCGTGTGTCTGCCCTTGCTGTGTGATGGGTGTGAACCCAGGGAGGGTCAGTGCTCTGAACTGTTATCCCCAAGAGTCCAGCAGGCGTCCAGGTGCCCGTTGGAGCTGCTGGAGCGGGGCCTGAGCAGGCAGAACCTGGAGAGGCTTCCAGAACCCAGGAAGCCTCCGGATTTGGGCCAGACGGTGCCTGCGGGCAAGATGAACTCCACACGCTTGCCCTCTCAGGGCGTGAAACACCGCCACTGGCACCACTGGCACGGGCTCCCGCGCGTCCCTGCTGAGCTCAGCTGCACCTCGGCGCCGTCCGCCAGCCGCTCGGCACTGGAACCGCGAGCGTCACACCCGAGGCCGGGCCGAGGCTGGAGCCAAGCAGCGCGTCTCGTCTCGCAGCACACTGGGTCGCCAGTCGCTTTGTAACAGGTCAGTACCGACTCCTGCTCCCGCACACTCAGCCCGCTCAGTCCCGGGAGCCAGCACCCGCAGCCGCTCCACGCTGGGGGACCTGGCCACGCTGGGGGACCCTGCCCCGCTGGGGGATAGTCAGCCACACTGGGTGACCTGGCCACACTGGGGGACAGTCAGCCACGCTGGGCGACCTGGCCACGCTGGGGGATAGTCAGCCACACTGGGGGACCCTGCCCCGCTGGGCGACCTGGCCACGCTGGGGGGACCTGGCCACGCTGGGGGACCTGGTCATGCTGGGCGACCTGGCCACGCTGGGGGACCTGGCCACAATGGGGGACCTGGCCACAATGGATGACCTGGCCACGCTGGGGGACAGTCAGCCACATTGGGGGAATCAGCTAAGCTGGGGGACCCACAGGACTCCCGTAACACCTCACTTTTTATCAGCTCTTCCTACCAGATGCCATTCTGATGGTATTTAAGGAAAATACCGCACTTCAACAAAAGCCTAGTCCTGCAGGGTCGTGAGGAGTCACCGTGAGGTCCCAAAGGGGCACAGGGTCCCCGCCTCCCGGGAGTCCCTGGTGACACCTCCGTGCCCACACGCGTGAGCCAGCTGGCGGGGGGGCTCTGAGGCAACACAGCTCACGTGTCAGGCCACAGGCTGGTCACACCCAGGTGTGGGGTCGTCACGGGCCCGAGTTGTCCCTCCCCGTGCGTGGGGGTGTCTGGGGTCTGCCTGTGGCTGCAGCAGCTGTTTCTTGAGTCGACACTCACCTCTGGGTCCGGGGTCTCCCAGCTCTCCGGGGGGCCCACGATATCCGGGGGGCCCTCGGGCCCCTGGGTGACCGATGGAGCCTGGGGGGCCCGGTGGCCCGGGGGGACCCGCTGGGCCAGGCCGGCCGATGGAGCCCGGGGCTAACGGCTTCCTTAGGTGCGCAGCCAGCTGTGCGACTTGCTCTTGGGAGACAAGGGGCGGCAGGTCAGAGTGCCCGAGGCAGAGCCTTCCCGAAGGCCAGCTGCTGTGGGCGTGCGGGAAGCGGTAAAGAGGCGGCTCCAGGTCGTGAAGGCCGCCCGTGAGGCCACGGGCGGACGGTCACGGGGAGCGAGGGAGGCCCTGGCCGGAGGACAGGCGGGTGGGCAGGGCGGGGGCACAGCCCGCTTGCCGAGGCTGACCTACTCACCGCTCACCATCCCCCCGCACAGCTCTCGGATGCGCTGCTCGCTGGCCGCTTTGCCCTGGAATTTCAGCCCAGGGCCGTGAGCGGGGGGCCGCGCTGGCAGCCCCGGAGGCATTCTTACTGCCCCCACCCCCAGCCCCGTGCTCTGACTGCGGGTGAACCAGGTGCCAACGGCAGGGGCTCGCGGGGCAGAGCTGACGTACCGGGACTCCTGGTTTCCCGGTGATGCCAGGGACACCCTGCTCGCCCTGGGGGCCCAGGGGGCCGGGGGGGCCCGGGACGCCCTGGACGCCGCTGGTGCCGTTGGGGCCCTGGATACCTTTGGGGCCCAGCTCCCCTCGGCTGCCGGACTGCAGGGGACAGGACAAGGGGCTGGAGGTGGGCCCCGCCAGGAGCGGTGCTGCGCCCTGGGCCTGCGCCCCAGCCAGCACAGAGGCCTCCCTGGCGAGCTGCCGTGACCGCATCTGGCCAGTGCCGGGGCCTGGCTGCTGGCCCAGAGGCGGACGGGAGGCCACAGGCTCTGGATTTTGCCAGGGAGGACCTGCCAGGCACTCACCTCTCCTTTCGGTCCGACTGGGCCACTGGGACCCTGCGAGGAGAAAACGCAGAGTGAGCAGAAGGACAGACAGATCTTCATCCGCTGGTTCACTCCCCAGATGGCCGCAACAGCTGGGGCTGGGCCAGGCTGACGCCGGGCGCTCCGGCAGGGTCCCCCACGTGGCTGCAGGGCCCTAACACTTGGGCCATCTTCCGCTGCCTTCCCAGGTGCATTAGCAGGGGGCTGGGCTGGAAGTGGAGCAGCTGGGACTGGAACCAGCGCCCATACGGGAAGCCAGTGCCACAGCGCTGACCGCTGAATTACCCAGATGTCGCTGGCTGGGTGGGAAGTAGCCCCCAGGGAAGCGGTGAGACCACCACATACCCTCGCCCAACACTCCCCGAAGCGCTGACCCTCCAGCTGCCTGGAGGAGGCCCCTCCTCCCTGTGACGCCTGATGGGGAAGGCAGCCGGTGCAGGTACTGCTCCCAGGTGGGCGGGCGAGGGCCCTGTCTGGGCAGCTGCCCACCCGGAGCAAGCGCCCATCTTCCCCAACACTCACCGGCTCGCCTTTGTCCCCAGGAAGACCGTCGGAACCTGCAACTCCCTGAAAGAGACCCAAAGGTCAGAACCACCAGTAAGAGTCGTCACGCACTGTCCAGCCCCAGGGCAGAGCCCGGAGCTGGGCCCTGCCGCCCGCGGGCTGAGGCCCGGGTTAGCACAGGGAGGCTGTTCTGCCCAGAACCCCGCACGGCCTCGCCAGAGATGGCGGAAGCGTTTCTCAGTTTGCCGTGGCCCACGCGCAGCTTGGAGCCTGCACCCGGCTCACCCAAAGCTGTTCCCCGGGGGCCTGGGACTGCAGCCGTCTGCTTCGCCATCCCCGCCACGGCACCTGCCTGCTGTCACTGTGCAGAGCAGGCAGGGGGAAGAGGGAGCCGAGAGCCACACGGGCCGGCAGGACCTGGGAGAGCCGGGACCGGATCTGACCCGAACGCTGCGCCCACTCACCTGGTCTCCCTTGAGGCCTGCGGCGCCTCCTGGGCCCTAGGGCGGAGAGAAGGCCCTGGGTTAGTGCGGCACGGGAACGCTGCCCGCCTGGGCCTCAGAGGCCTGCGGTGGACCCTGCCTGGACGGCTGTGAATCTGTGCCGTCCTTGGCAGCCCCCGCCCCGGCCCGGGATCACTCCCTCCAGAGCTCCTGGCCCAGACTGAGGTGTGGGGCCTGCCCGCCCCCTGCGGGGACAGGGCAGAAAGCCACCGCCACGCCTTCCCTGTCTGGGGCCCCGGGGTTGCTGGCAGCGTCTGGCCCAGCTGGAATGTCCTGCCCGGGGGGCTAATAAAGGGCCCACTGTCTCAGCCGGGGCTTTGTCTGCAGGGGGTCCTGGCGCCTGCCCGGGCCACGTGCGTGTCCAGAGCTCTGTCCCTGCCCTGCAGCCAGGCAGGCACACGGGACCACCAGGGACCTGCCCTCCCCCCTGTGCCCTGATGGCACCGCTGCCACGAGACCAACAGGGACCAAGCTGAGGTGAGCTGGGACTCCCAGGACTTCAGACAGCAGTGGGACCCGTCCCCCAGCCAACCTCAGCTGACACCCAGGGGGTGGAGTCACCCCACACCCCGTCCTGATTATGGGGCAGCTACAGCTGTTTGCCTGGCTGGACCTCCACGGGGGCGGGGGGTAGACAGAGCCCCCAGGCCAGCCCCACGGGACTGCAGGGTCGCACCACCACGCCCCCACAAGGTGTGCAGCCGCAGGTAAGCCTCCTGCTGGCCTGAGTGGTCTCTGACCTCGGGGCCCAGCCCTTGGGGGCACTCACCCGATCACCCACGTCACCTCGGAGGCCCTGGGGGCCTGGAAGGCCAGGCTCTCCTGCGCTGCCCTTCTGGCCCTGTGGACGAGGCCCAGCGTCAGTGCCCACTGGGCCCAGGGGACCTGCCCCCCCCACCCCGACCTTCTTACCTGGAAGCCTCGGGTGCCAGGGGCCCCTTGGGGGCCTTGCGGGCCAAGGGCCCCCTGAAAGAGAAAGGCGTGAGTGAGTGCCCAGGGTGGCAGGGCCCCAGGGCCTCGGCTTTGCCTCCCTAGCTGGGCTAGGTGGACGCTGCAGTGGTGGTCGCGTCTGTTCCAGTGGCCAGGGACAGAGGCGGGGAGCCTCCCGCACAGGCTCAGAGCTCAGACCCTCGGGCCGGCCTCTGCGCCAGGCACTGATGTGCACTGCCTCCCCCAGGGCCCTGGCCGGCGGCGGCTACGGGTGGCCTCTCCACCTCCGCATGGGCCAGGGACCAAAAACACGAGGCCCCTGTCCCATGCGGGCATCCTTGGCGCTTGGCCCATCTGCGTGCCGAGTCCCCTCCCCGCCTACTCAAACTGGGGCACCGGGGGCGCTCGGGGCCGTGCCCCCCACTCACCGCAGAGCCCCTGTGGCCAGCCTCGCCGCGTTCCCCAGGCACGCCAGCGTCTCCCTGCAGGGGGCATGGGGACACTGGAGCAGGGTCCAGACGCGCCCACGGGGGCGGGGCAGGGCAGGGCAGGGCTGAGGCAGGCGCACACGTGGGGGGAGGGCTGTGGATACTCACAGGGACGCCCGGCTCTCCCGAGGGGCCGGCTTCGCCCAGCTCCCCAGCTCGGCCCTGAGGAAAACAGCTTCAGGTGCCGGCCCACCCCAGGGGCCAGGGCTGCGGAGCCGCCTGCCCCCCCCCCCCCCCCGGGAGCAGCCACCTACCGGTTCTCCCTTCTCGCCCTTGGACCCCGCTCTTCCGGGGAGGCCCTGGGGGAGAGCGCGGGGTGAGTGGGGCCGTCTGCCCCCAGCCCTGCTGACCCCAGGGGCTTCCTGCACTTCCCCAGCCTTGGAGGCAGAGCCCTCTGTGAACCCCCACTGACGCCCCACACGGGGCTGGCCCTTCCGTGTCGAGGGACAGGTGTGTGCACACGAGGGGGCGGGGCCAGCTGGGCGGGCAGCCCCCTGCAGGGCACTCACCGGCAGCCCGTCGGGGCCTTTCTCTCCCGGGGCACCGCCGCGACCTGCCTCTCCCTGTGAGGACCGAGATGGAGGGGGAGGGGAACAGGTGCTGAGACGGGGCACCGGGTTCCTCTGCGGCCCCTCCCCCCCCCCAGCCACCTACCTTCTCGCCATCGAGGCCTGGCACGCCGTCCCGGCCAGCCTTGCCCGGCATTCCCTGGGGATGAGGACGTCAAGCTCTGGGTGGGGTGCAGCCCCCCCAGCCCCTAGAACTGTGCAGCCTCAGGCCCGGGGGTGGCAGGTTTGGTGGCCGCCCCCTGCGGACCCAGGACACAGGCCAGGCCCCCCCGGGGGCCTCGCTCCAATTTCTGGAGCTGGAGAGTGGCAGGAGGAGGGGTCTCCCCTGTAGGCCGCTCCAGCAGCTCCAGAGGGGAGGGGGGAGGGGCACGGATGGGGGAGGGGCCCCCAGGACATGGCGTGGCAGCTGCAGGCTGGCAACGGCAGAGCGGTCAACTGAGCGCGGCCCCTCCTGAGCAGGGCTGTGAGAACATGGGCCACGAGCCCACCAGGTGCAGGGCCAGGATGCGGGAGGGGTGCGCGGCGGCACTGTGCACTCACCGGCTCTCCGCCAGGCCCGGCCACTCCGGGGAGTCCTTTGGGACCAGGTCTGCCCTGGACGACACGTGGGGAAGGAAGGGCTGCAGTGGGGACCCCGGGGACCCTCCTGCCGGCGGCACCCACCCCCCATCCTGAGCTGCAGGGGCAGCCGCCCTGGTCCCAACAGCACCGGGAGGCTCTGCACCCCGTCCCGCCAGGGCGCCTGGTGGCATGGACGCTGGCGCCGGCGCCTGGAGCCCCGGCCAGGCCCCGCGGTTTGCAGGCACCCTCCAGTCAGGGCCGCAGATCCCGTCTCCCCCACCCAGGAAGCAGATGAGGGTTCTCCCCGGAAGGACCCAGAGAACCAAATTCTGTCTCACTTACGAGGTCGCCCTTGGGGCCGCGGAACCCCTCTGCGCCCCTCTCGCCTCTGTCACCCTGCGAAGGAAGGGGACAGGGACAGTTAAACAGCAGAAGGGCCAGGCCCAGGCCCAGCGTGGCTGAGGCCGCGTCGGACTCCTCGCGCACATCGGGGCCACGGACAGCCCAGCCTGGGACCGGGCCAGCAGCAGCGCAGCTGGGGGAGGTGTCCATGACGAGGGGGAGGCACGGGGACGCCCCCAGCACACACGTACCGCTTTTCCAGGTGCTCCTGGGATCCCAGGGGGACCTCGGAACCCGATAGGACCCTGCAGGAGAGAGGGGGCTCTGGGTCCTCACAGACGCGCGAGCGCCGGGGCCTGGCCCGGCCCGACGGCAGCCACCCCCGGCAGAGCCAGCGGCGCCTCGCTGGGGAGCAGCCCTCCCGGCCCACCTGGAGTCCAGGGGGGTGCAGGCCCCGGATCCTCACCACCCGGCCACCACCCGGCCAGCACGACTTACCCGGTCCCCGGGGGGTCCAAGTGGCCCTGGAAGTCCTTGTGCTCCCCGGGGGCCCTGCAGGGACAGAGAAGGACATGGAGGCAGCACTGCACCCACCCGGGCCCCTGGAAGCCCCTGACTCGGCTCAGGCCCCCAGAGGGAGGGGCCCAGCCTCGGTACCAGCAGCCTTTCCAGGACAGGACCCCCAACCACCCCCAGCCCGAGCCCCCCCCCCACACACACACTGCCGGCTCCCCTCTGCCCAGGCTCACCTGCAGCCCCACAGTGCCTGGGAGGCCAGCGGGCCCTGGAGAGCCAGGGTTACCCTGCGTCAAGACAGAGCAGTGGTCAGCGGGTCCAGGCCTAAGCAGCAGGGTCACGCACCCACAGTGCCAGAGGCCGCGCCTGGTGTCTGCCTGAGCCTGCCCCCTCTCAGGCCCCTCTTGTGGCCAGGCACAACCCCAGCCACGCACGCGGTGGTCCCCCCTGGCCTCAGCACAGGCTCAAGGTGGGGGCGTCCCTGGGACACTTCAGGCTGCAACCCGAGTGTCCCCGCGGAGCCCCAGCACACGAGTGCGCGTCCGTGCGTGCAGCCCCGCCCCAGCCACCCAGATGAGCAGACCCCGCCCTCACCTTCTCGCCGTCCTTGCCCGCCTCTCCCTGCTCCCCCTTGTAGCCAGCCGGCCCCTGAAAGCAGACGGAGAGTCACTGCCCCTTGGCAGTGCTGCCGACGGAGCCCGCACGCCAGCCGGCCCAGCGTCCAGCCTGGGCACCCGGGGGGGTGTCTCTCCAGGTGCATGAGTCTCGGTGATGAGACGGGGACAGCCCTGGAGCCAGGGCCAGGCCTCCCATATCCTGATGTCTCACGGCCTGTGTCGGGGGCTGGGCGGGCTGCCCCTGCCAGGGGGGAGGTGGGCTCGGCCTGAGTCACCTTGTGGCCACTCACCTTGAACCCTGGCATTCCCGGTGGCCCAGGGGGGCCTGGTGGGCAGATGGCTGGGCACTGTTGGAAAGCAGAGTGGTCAGACCCCTCCCAGCCTGACGCAGCAGACCCCCAGCAGGGCTGCAGCCCCAGGGACACCTGAGACGCGCCATCCGGTACCATGGCGGCACCTTCACGTGTGCCGATCTGCCTGCTGTGTGGCTTCTGGGAGGGACGTGAGCCCGGGCCCTAGACCTGTGCCACAGCTCCCCTGTGCCGGAACCCATGGAAGGTATGGAGCTTTCTAGATCATTCCCCAGCTGACCCGGGAGACCAGGCAGGGGTGCAGGGCTGGCACCATCAACCTCTGCCTACCCAGGCTCTCCCTCCCAGGACACGACCCGGCTACCACGTGGGGCCCAGGGTGCGGCGAGCAGCTGGCAGGCCACCCTGCGGCTCGGTGAAGCCAGGGGGACACTTTCCCTTGCAGATACAAAGCCTGGGGCTGGTGCTGTGGCGTAGGGGGTGAAGCCGCCATCTGCAGCGCCGGCACCCACACGGGCACTGATTCAAGACCCGGCTGCTCCACTTCTGACCCAGCCCCCTGCTGTGGCCTGGGAACGCAGTGGACATGGCCCGCGTGCTTGGCCCTTGCATCCACGTGGGAGACCTGGAGGAAGCTCCTGGCTCGGCCCGGCCCAGCCCCGTGATGCGGCCGTTTGGGGACTGAACCAGCACACGGAAGATCTCTTTCTGCTCCCTTGCTGTAGCTCTTTCAAATCAATCAATCAATCAATCTTTAAAAACAAAACACAGAAGTCTCTGTGGCCAGGAGCCAGCAGACGGCACTGAGCGCTATGGCCGTGACCCTGGGGAGTGACCAGGCAGACGTCAGGACAGAAGCCAGTCCCAGACTCGCGTCGGGAACCTGGTGTGTGAGGGAGGCGCGCGGAGCTGCCCCGGCCTCCTGGGGCTGAACACGGGCGGGGCTGCGCTGGGGCCACAGGAAGCTCGGTGTGCAACTCAGGCTGCCCGTGTCCTCGGGGCCGGGGTGGGGGATGCTCCAGGCTGTGCCGCAGCCGCCCACACGGACCCCTCCCCCAGGCGGGAGCCCCACCCCCAAGGCAGATGCCCCCAACCCCCTGCACAAAGGCAGCAAGTGCCCACCTGAAGGTCAGTGGCGCCTTCGGGGAGGACCCCTGGCTGTCCCTGGAAAGAGAAAACACTGAGGTCCACCCACCCCCAGGGACCTAGGGGCCTTTCATTCCAGCCCCATGTGACCAGCGCCAGGTGCTGCTGGCCCGTCTGCACGACCAGAGTGACACAAGCCACCATCCTCAGACAGGGTGGCCGTGGGTGCCCAGGCCTTGACCAAGCCCTGGCTGCAGCCCTGGGCTCTGTCCCGACTTCCCGTGCGTGCCTGCCCAGTACTTACGGGAGGGCCAGGAGGGCCAGGAGGGCCGGGGAGGCCTGGGAGTCCAGAGGGTCCCTGTGGGGAGGCGGGGGTTAGAGCAGCGCCAGCCCCCACCCCCACCCGAGGTGACCCACCACTCCCAGAAGAGACGCACCCAGTTCCTGCTGCGTGCTGTGCCCACAGTCTGGAGGGGACAGGGCGGGAGGGGACGGGAGGGGAGGGGAGGGGAGGGGAGGGGAGGGAGCCCTCCCAGCCCTCCCAGCCCTCCCCCACCCCAGTGGAATCCGGGTGAGGGGCGAGGATGTGGGGGTCTCCACTCACCGGGGGGCCACGGAGGCCGATCCCTCCAGGCAGGCCGCTCGCTCCTGCCTCTCCCTGGGGAGAGCAAACCAGTGAGGCCCCGGGAGCTCCACGGCGAGAGGGCGCCCCCCTGGGCCAGCGCCCGTCTCTGCAGGGCCAGAGCAGCCCAAAAGCACCACCCCCCCCGCCCGCCCAGGCCGGCACTGGCGCGTGACGCTGGCCTGTACTCACCGGGGGTCCGGGGAGGCCTTTGCCCTGCAAAGCCAAGCGTGGGGGTCAGAGCACGGGACAGCCCCCCCTACAGTGCAGGGGGCCCTGGGGAAGGGGGCCCGGACATGGGGGTCAGAGCACAGGACAGCCCCCCCTACAGTGCAGGGGGCCCTGGGGAAGGGGGCCCGGACGTGGGGGTCAGAGCATGGGACAGCCCCCCCCAACAGTGCAGGGGGCCCTGGGGAAGGGGGCCTGGACATGGGGGTCAGAGCACGGGACAGCCCCCCCTACAGTGCAGGGGGCCCTGGGGAAGGGGGCCCGGACATGGGGGTCAGAGCACAGGACAACCCCCCCTACAGTGCAGGGGGCCCTGGGGAAGGGGGCCCAGACATGGGGGTCAGAGCACGGGACAGCCCCCCCTACAGTGCAGGAGGCCCGGACATGGGGGTCAGAGCACGGGACAGCCCCCCTACAGTGCAGGGGGCCCTGGGGAAGGGGGCCCGGCCATGGGGGTCAGAGCACAGGACAGCCCCCCCCCACAGTGCAGGGGGCCCTGGGGAAGGGGGCCCTGGGGAAGGGGGCCCGGACATGGGGGTCAGAGCACAGGACAACCCCCCCTACAGTGCAGGGGGCCCTGGGGAAGGGGGCCCGGACATGGGGGTCAGAGCACGGGACAACCCCCCCTACAGTGCAGGGGGCCCTGGGGAAGGGGGCCCGGCCATGGGGGTCAGAGCACGGGACAGCCCCCCCCCCCACAGTGCAGGGAGCCCTGGGGAAGGGGGCCCGGACATGGGGGTCAGAGCACGGGACAGCCCCCCCTACAGTGCAGGGGGCCCTGGGGAAGGGGGCCCGGCCATGGGGGTCAGAGCACGGGACAGCCCCCCCCCACACAGTGCAGGGAGCCCTGGGGAAGGGGGCCCGGACATGGGGGTCAGAGCACGGGACAGCCCCCCCTACAGTGCAGGGGGCCCTGGGGAAGGGGGCCCGGACATGGGGGTCAGAGCACAGGACAGCCCCCCCCCACACAGTGCAGGGGGCCCTGGGGAAGGGGGCCCAGACATGGGGGTCAGAGCACAGGACAGCCCCCCCCACAGTGCAGGGGGCCCGGACATGGGGGTCAGAGCACAGGACAGCCCCCCCCACACAGTGCAGGGGGCCCTGGGGAAGGGGGCCCGGACATGGGGGTCAGAGCACGGGACAGACCCCCCTCACAGTGCAGGGGGCCCTGGGGAAGGGGGCCCGGACATGGGGGTCAGAGCACGGGACAGCCCCCCCCACAGTGCAGGGGGCCCGGACATGGGGGTCAGAGCACAGGACAGCCCGCCCCCCAACACACACACGGTGCAGGGGGCCTGGACATGGGGGTCAGAGCACAGGACAGCCCCCACACACAGTGCAGGGGGCCCTGGGGAAGGGGGCCCGGACATGGGGGTCAGAGCATGGGACAGCCCCCCCCAACAGTGCAGGGGGCCCTGGGGAAGGGGGCCTGGACATGGGGGTCAGAGCACGGGACAGACCCCCCACACAGTGCAGGGGGCCCTGGGGAAGGGGGCCCGGACATGGGGGTCAGAGCACGGGACAGCCCCCCCCACAGTGCAGGGGGCCCTGGGGAAGGGGGCCCGGCCATGGGGGTCAGAGCACAGGACAGCCCACCCCCCTACACACACACGGTGCAGGGGGCCTGGACACAGGCACCTGGTCTAGGAGACCCCAGGAGGGGCTGCAAAGAGGACAGCAGGGGGCGCCTGGTGGTCACCCCGCCCAGCCAGACCCCTGGACAGGCGACAGCACTTACCCCCAGCCCGGGCGGCCCTGGGGGTCCCAGACTGCCCTGTGGAAAGAAAGGGGCATCAGGGGACACGGAACCTGCCCCTCGTGCAACACTGTTGAGAAATCAACTGCGGGGGGGGGGGGCAGGGAGGGAGCCTCGCTCTGCCGGGAGCTGAGGCCCAAGGGGCTCCTGACGCCCCAGCACTGCGCAGGCGCTCCCCCAACAGCCCCGCTGAGCAGCGCAGCAGCAAGGACCCCCGAGGGGAGGCAGCCAGACAGGCCGCCTCAGCAGGGACAAGGCCCAGCAGCCTGAGCCACCAGGAGCCGGCTCCTGGCCCGAGGAGGGGACACATGGCCATCCCTGCACCAGAGGCCGGCGCAGAGCGTGGCGCTCAGCTGCTGAGCTCCCAGGGGCCCGGGGGCGTCCCGTGCCCCCCGCCCAGCCTTCCCACTGGGTGCTGCCTGGCACCAGGCCCAGAAGCCCCACAGGGACGGTCACTTCTCCGAGGGCTGGGCACAGCCGTGAGCTCAGCGGCCACACAGAAGAAAGCCGGGCGGGGCTTCCGCGGTGACGGTGACAGTGACGGTGACTGTGCCGGTCAGACTCCGGGCGAGGGAGGCCGCGTGGCGGTGGCCCTCCTCGGGGCCCCAGGGACACCCAAGGGAGGAGGTGCATGGGGCTGCCCACCCACCTACACCCCCTGCATGGACCTACCCTGCCTGCTGCGGTCTGGGTGCCAGATGTGGACGGGGCACAGAGGGCTGCCACGCGGGACCACTAGGCAATACCACGTGGGCCCCCCTGCCCGCGCATCCTGCCAGTCCCAGGTGGACACAGACTGCTACTCACCCCAGCCAGGCCTCACCTCTGAACGGCAGCCCCTGGACACGGGGCCGGCACTTACCCGCTCTCCAGGAGCGCCCTTGGGTCCAGGGGGTCCATCCTGCCCAGTCAGACCCTGGGGAGGGAGGGAGGGAGAGGACTCCAGGAGCTACACGGGACACGCACAGCACACAGGCGCAAACACATGGACCTCACAGATGCCCCCGGGGTCAGGCGGTCTCGGCCTTAGGCCCGGCCCCGTCCACCCAGTGCACACCTAGGGTCTGGGGGAGGCGGGGGCAGTGAGTGGGGGGCCAGCAGTGGGGGCACCTGCTGGAGCCAGGCCCGGGGGACCAGGCAGCAGTCACTCCTCATGTCATCTAGCAAAACTACAGGGACCCTAGCGCCAGGCTCCAAGCCCACGGATGCCCGCCCAGGTGGGCCTGGGGCTCGGAGGGGCACGGGCAGTGGCAGGCAGAGCAGCCCGCCAATGGGAATTGGCTCCCAGACAAGCCAGCGCTGGGGGCTGGCGTGGCGACCACGAGACCCTCGCTGTGGGATTCTGGAGGTGGCCGTCAGTGCCGGGGGTCCTGCTGGGGTGGGCACAGCTGGAGGGGGTCCCGGGCCCCAGGGGACGTCCAGGGCCGGGGCGGGGGCGGGGCCAGGCACTCACATCCACTCCAGGCAGCCCCGGCAGTCCGGCCTCGCCCGGCGTCCCCGGCTTCCCTGGCAGCCCTTTGGGTCCCTGCGTGGGGACAAAGGGGACCGGTGTGAGGGAGCAGCCGGCCCCACGGCCCCAGCCCCGGGACAGTCGCCCCAGCTGAGGGCTGCCGGGGCCCTGTCTGGGGGACTGCGGGGCTGCTCCGCTCCCTTTGCCTGGCTGCCTGGGCACCGGCCCAAAGCAAGCTTCAAGCCAGACCCTGCCCAGAGACACGTCCCCTCCCCCTCCTGGCTCCAGCCCCTGCTCCCAGACCCAGGGCCGCTGTGCTCAATGACCCTCTGTTGTCTGGGCCCGCCCTCCCCGCCACGGCGGGGGACACTCACCGAGGGCCCAGGCAGACCGGGGGGACCAGCTTCTCCCTGCACAGGGAGAGATGCCCACTGTGACCCCAGAAAATCCCACCCCACGGGAACCCAGCCCAGGGGACAGGATGGGCAGACCTGCCCCGGCCCCTTAGCTGCACCCCTGTGTCCAGTCAGAGGAGGTGGGGCCTTGGCTCCTGCCAGGACCCACCGGTCACTGCACTGATGGGCCGGCAGCGTGGGGGCCAGCTCCTGGGACAGGACCCCAGGAGCTTCAGAGGCTGCCTGAGGGCAGCCTCCTCCAGGAAGACCCCCAGCCCCCGCCCCCGTGGCCAGCATCAGGCCTGAAATCCTTGCACCAACTTCACAGTCAGGGGGAGGCTGAGGCCCGGGGTCCTACACGGGGCCCTGGACACAGCCCAGTGGAGATGGGGGAGGCTGAGGCAGGGTCGGGCACTGCTCAGGTAAGGAGGCGGCGGCAGGGAACAGGTGCTCAGCTGCGCCCCACAGAGACCCTGAGAGCCGTCTACCCACAGCAGGGAGCCCTCGGGGCCCACAACCCAGCCACAGAGCGCTCCGGGAGGCGGGGGAGCAGCCGGCACCCAGGACCCCCGACCCAATCCCAAACTCACGTCGACGCCATCCTTTCCCGGCTTCCCAGGTGGCCCTTGGGGGCCGGGGGGCCCTCGCGGTCCGGTTTTCTGAAACGGAGAAGCGTCGCTGGAGAGCTCCCGCATTCGAGCAGCTCCGGGACCCGCGACCCCCGCCCGCCCCAGAGACCCCCGAGCCTTGGGTCGCGGCCGTCGCCACGCCCGGGCGGGGAGCAGCTGCGCCGGGCCCGCGGGGAGCCTCCGGAAACAAAGAGGACATTGTCCGCCGGCGGCTCCGGAGCGGCCGACCCTGGCCCGGACTCTTCCCCGCAGCATCCCGGCGTCCGGGGGCTCACGGGCCGCGCCGTCGGCGAGGCGGGCCGCGGGCAGCCAGGCTGCGCGGGCGTCCCGGGGTCAGGGGCGGCGGGCCCGGGCCCGGCCGCAGATCCGAGACCCTGGCCGGCCCGCAGCCCGCGCTCACCTGCGCCGCGGCGGCCGCCAGGAGCTGCCCGAGAAGCAGCAGGAGCAGGGCGGGCGCGCGGGCCATGGCTGCGCTCGCTCTGAGCGCCCGTGGCGCGGCCGCACGGGGTCGGCGGCGCGGGGGGCGGGGCCGGGGGTGGGGCCGCGGGCGGGGGCGGGGGCGGGCCGGGGCCGAGCGCACAAGCCCCCCATTCAGCCGGCCGCCCCTGGGCGGGCGGGGGGAGCGGGTGGCGGCGTCTTCGCGGCCAGCCGGGGAGTTAAAATTACGCACCTCGCGGCGGGGCAGACAGACACCTTTTCTCCGGACGTCGGCCGCACACAAGGCTCCTGTGAGCCGTGCGCCCCACCCCCAGCCCAGGGAGACCCCCAGGCCGCGCCCTGGCAAAGGCTCTGTGGCTGCTAGGCTGGGACCCCTTGGATCCCCTGCCCACGAAGCCCGGGCTGTACCACATGGCGTGGCCACGTCGGCGCCAGTGGCGAGGGCCACAGCCTTATGGAGGTCCTGGCCCCTGGAGGAGGAAGCCACGCCTTGCTCCGGCCCCAGGGATTTGTCAGGACCCCCACCCCCTTCTCACAAGCTCGGCCCCTTCCTGAGGGGGTACCAGGTCCCCAAGGCGAGGGACACCTCCTGGGCAGGCGGGGGGCACCCTGTAGGTCCCCTACAGCTCCCCAATGCACAGAATCCCAGGCCCCTCCCCCAAAGCTGAGTGTGATACAGTGGGGCGGGACAGGAGTGAGGACAGTGGCACTGACCTCCTGAGGTCGCCAACCAGGGAGTGGGCAGGAGCCTCGGTGGGCATCGCATCAGGAGGGGCGGGGACGAAGCTCCCAGCCCAGTCTCAGAAGACTGGTGGCGGGTGGGGAGGCAGCCAGCCCACCCCCACACCAGGCCTGGGACCAGACGAGGTGAGGCCAGTGCCCCTCAGCCCATCCGGCCTGGCCCTGTGCAGCCACGGCCAGCACAGGCCAGCGAGGGCTCCTGCTGGACTAACCGTGTGGCCAGCGCTCGGCGGGTGGACAGGCGCTTGAGACCTCACTCACCCTCCCCCGCCATCAGCCCCCACAAAACCCACCCATCAGGGTCCAGCCCCACTGGCACCAGCCTCTTAGCTGGAGGGCAGGGCAGGCGCTGAGGGGCTCTGTCCCCCCGGAGGCCCCTGATGGTCAGCCAGACAGCCCAACGGACCCTGCTGGAGGGACCAGTGCCCGGCTCACCTCAGCGCCCAGTCCCTGCCCGGGGGCAGAACCCCGGCACCGAGCCAGAGTGGAGGCACCGGGGTCTGGTGCACCCACAGGCTGAGGAGCCAGCGTTACGAGACCCCTGTCCCCAGCCAGCGCTGGGCCCCCCAGCCCAGGTGCGCCCCTGCCATGGCTCAGGAATGAGCGTCCCGGCCTCCCCCAGCCGTCTCTGTCTGTGTCCCGGCCTCCTCTGCTGCTCTGCCCGCAGGCCCACACAGGCCCCCGCCCAGTGATGCAGACACCCTGGTGGAGAATCTGGCATCCTGGCGGGGCATGGCCCCAGGGGCACCTGCCAGGGCGGATGGAGCCCAGCGCGGGGTGCACACTGAGGGGTGGGCGGCGTCTGGGCAAAGCAAGGCTGCACCTACCAGGGAGGGAGGAGTCCAGAGAGGGGCTCCCCGCTCCGAAGCCCCCCAAGCCGGGCCGCAGGCGACAGCAGAGGCTCCAAGTAAACTGTTTATTTGGAAAAGGCCTCCCTCGGCACCAGAGTAGGAAAACAGGAGCCACCCCACCCCGACCCCCGAGGGTCCACGCAAAAGATGGGGGTCGCAGAGAAGGGGGAAGCTGAGGTAAGAGGCGTCCCCAAGGCCGTGGCCTTCCCTGAGCGGCTCCGTCCTGGCCACCACCGGGCGCTTCCACTCCCGTGGCTGGGCCCAGCTTCCTCCTGTCCGGCCGGGTCCACTCCTCATGGCTCCGAGGGCTCCTCCGCCCCAGCCCTGTCCTGCTCGGCGTCTCTCGCCGTGCCCTGGCCAGAGCTCTCCGACAGGCAGCCCTGGGCTCCCTCCTCCGGCTCCTCCGGCTCCTCCGGCCCCTCCAGCTCCTCTGGCCCCTCCGGCTCCTCCGGCCCCTCTAGCTCCTCCGGCTCCTCCGGCCCCTCCGGCTCCTCCGGCCCCTCTAGCTCCTCCGGCTCCTCCGGCCCCTCCGCCTTGGCTCCGGCGCCAGGGCGCCCCTGCGGGGCGGAGGGTGCAGCCGGGGCAGGCGCCTGGGCGCCCCCGTCCACCTTCCTGCGCTTCCTGGTCTCGGCAGGCCTCGCGCCTGGGGGCCCGGGGCAGGGCTGCTCGGTGTCCCCCGGCTCCTGGCCGCCCTGGCTCAGCGCGCAGCCCTCCAGGTTCTGGGCGACCTTCTCCACGTCGGAGGCGCCCTGCGGGCCCGGCTCCTCCGGGGTCCGCTCCTGCCGGTTGGCTTCCAACTTCCTCTTCTTGGTCTCTTTGGGGCTGGGGGGCTCGGGCTGGTCCTCCCCGCGGTCCCCGGCCTCGGCTTCAGGTTCCCCCTCCAGGGTGCTGGCGCCCGGGGGACTCTCGGCCTCCCCGTCCCCCACCCCTGTCCGGTCCGGCCCGCAGGTCTGGCCCTGCTCGGGGCTCTGGCCGCCCTCTGCCTGCCCCGGGGCCGGCCGCGGCGCGAGAGGCCTGAACCTGCGCAGCTTGCCGTGCGGGCCCCAGACGAACTGGCAGCGCGGCCGGAAGTGCTCCCAGGCGAAGTGCAGGAGCTCGCGGCGCTGACGCCGGCAGCGCACGGCGAACACGAAGTAGTCCAGCGCGCTCTGGCGCACGGCCGGCAGCTCGCGGCGCACCAGCGTCTCCTCCAGGAAGAAGCGCGCCAGCGGCGCCTGGTACTGCTCCAGGCCCAGCTCGCCCAGCGACTTGAGCATGCGCGTGATGCGCAGGTTGTTGTGGCTGTGCCTGCGAGGGGGAGGGGGAGGGGTGGTGGGCGGGGCCTGCCAGGCCCCTTCCCTGGGGGGCGGGGGGGACCCTCACCCCACACCCCAGAGAGTGGGCGAGGGCCCTGGGCACAGGAGTGGGGCGTCACCCAGAAGGGGGCCAGCCCCGGCCCCCCACGGTGACTCCCGACTCCACCCCCCGCCCCTCACCGCCCCACCCCCGCGACTCCCGACTCCCCGCCCCCCCCGCCCCCTCCCCCCGCTGGGAGAGGCCAGAGGAGCTGTGGCCCCTCCGATGCCCCATGCCCCGGCTCTGGCTTCGCCCTGGGACAGGCCTCAAGTTGCCACCCCCAGGGGCGGGACCTCCCCTCACCAGTTCAGGTTCTGGAAGCGCTTCTGGTAGTTGTGCGCCCGGCACACGGCGCCCGTGTCCCGGTCCTGCAGCTGGATCCCGTAGAAGTCCAGCATGAGTTCGTAGGCGCGCACGAGCCGCTCCCTGACCTCTTTGGAGCTTTTAAATGCCTGGAAAACACCCGCCCAGGCTCAGGCCACTGGGGTGCCACGGGAGCCCCTTCCCCGGCGACCCTCGCGGCCCTGTGCAGCCACACCACAGAGACCGCCGCCCTCCCTCCTGCTGGGGAGCGGGCGGTCTCAGAAAGTCGGATTTCTCCATGCCTCGGGGGCGGCAGGGGGGACCACCTTGTACAGAAGACCGTTACCCCAGAGGCCTTCGCCAGGGGCCCCCAAACACCGGGCTAGGTGTGAGCCCGGCCCTGGGCAGGGGCAGCTACCCCAGGCCTCCCCAGCTGCCCCAGCCCTGTCCCCAGCCCAGGCCTCCCCAGCTGCCCCGGCCCGAGCTCACCTCCACCTCCCTGAGCGTGAGGGGCTTCGCGTGCCAGTTCACTCCTGCTTCCCGCAGAGGAAACAGCCTGCGGGCAGGGCGGCCCCGTAAATGACAGAAAGTGGCCCCCCCAGGCCTCCTGCAGCCAACACGGCCACGGCCCGTCAGGGAGGGGCCCGGCCTCCGCTTCCGGTTCTCTCCCCGTCTTCACGGCTGCAGTTATCCCCGATGCAGCCTGCGGGGAGGCTCCGAGGGGGCCTGGCAGGCCGCGCTCAGGGCAGGGCCAGCGTCTCCCAGGCGGCGAGCCCAGGGCGGACGCTGTGGAGCCCCGCCCTCCCCCACTGGCGGAGCACCGAGGCCGGGCAGAGCCCCCGCGCTCACCACTGGATGTAGGAGTGGTTGTCCTCCAGCAGGCTGTAGCGGCTCCTCCACTGCTGAAGAAACTCCTCGATCAGGCAGCCTAGAGCCCAGGCACGAGTCAGCCGGCGGCCCCGCCCCGCCCCGCCCCTCCCCTCCCCACTGGGGCGACGCAGAGGGGGCCTGGGGGCGTCCGGAGGACCTGGCCTCGCCACCTCCCCCTGCACAGCCTCTCGGCCACAGAGCTCAGCCTCACACAGACCCCAGCCCAGACCGCCACGCCTGGGAGGGGCAGCCGCCCGCGCCCAGGACTGAGCCGTGTGCAGGCCGCGGTCTCCGGCAGCCGCCCAGAGCTCACTAGTAACCCAGGCATTTTCATGGCACAGAGCATTCCACTCCGTAAAGTTCTCTCCAGCATCAGGGGCCGGCGCTGTGGCGCAGCGGGTAAAGCAGCCGCCTGCAGTGCCGGCATCCCCTATGGGCGCCGGTTTGAGTCCCGGCTGCTCCACTTCCAATGCAGCTCCCTGCTGTGGCCTGGAAAGCAGCGGAGGATGGCCCAGGTGCCTATGCCCCTGCACCCGCGTGGGTGGGAGACCTGGAGGAAGCTCCTGGCTCCGGATCAGCGCAGCTCCGGCCGTTTGGGGAGTGAACCAGCAGATGGAAGACCACCCCCTCGCCCGTAACTCTGCTTTTCAAATAAACAAAATCTTTTTAAAAATATTTATTTGAAAGGCAGAGTTAGAGAGAGAGGAGCAGCCAGGACTCAAACCGGCAACCATATGGGAGGCTTTACCTCCCACACCACTGCGCCGGCCACTCAAATAAATCTTAAAAAGAGAAAGAGAGAGCGCGCGCGTGCCTGGTTCCCAGCCAGGCTACACGCCCTGGGTCTCGGGGCAGCGCACAGCACCCAGCACCGCAGAGATCCCCCGGGGCCGGGGCCCGGCCTCTGACTTCACTAAGCCCCGACCCGGCCTTCCCTGGAGTCCCCCAGCCGCCTGCAGGGGGCACTGTGGAGCTACCTAAGAAGCCAGGGTCTGGGGGACAGCCCGGGAGGGGCAAGGGAGCCCCGCAGGAGGCGGGTGTGTACCGTTGGGCAGGAAGCAGATCTTGTTCTTGTAGAAGCTCAGGTTGGGCATGTCACCATTGCCGTCTCGCTCCACCAGACCCTAGAAAGCGGGAGGAGGAGAGGGTCAGGGACGGGCAGCAGCAGGTGTGCACTGGGGGCGGGGCTCCCGGCTGACCCCTGGCAGCCACCCTCACGGCCCCACCAGGCGGCGCAGGGAGGGAGACCCCCGTCTTACAGCCCCAAGGCAGCCTGGGGTTGAAAAGGGGGCCGCGGGGAGAGGCTGGGGTGCGGGCTGCTGGCACAGTGGGGCGTCCTCGTGGGACCCACGTCCCCCCATCTCCCTGGGACCTGACCGCTGACACGGGGCCCCGAGGCACTCTGAGGAGAGGTGCGGGGGGCCGGGGCGGTACCTACCGGGTAGTGGCGCCGGTACCTGCACATGTCCTGCATGGCTCGCCAGTTGCGGGGCCGGGGTGTCCTGGACTGAGGGGAGGAGAGAAGGGTGAGGCCCCCTGCAGAGGGCACAGAGGCTGTGGCTGCTGTGCCCCCACATGGATACTTTTTCGGGGAGGACGGCCCAGTGGGCAGAGCTGGGTCGAGAGGGTGCGTGGGATCCCTGCACAGAGGAGCTGCCAGAGCCAGGGCGAGGCTGCGCCCCCACCTCGGGACTCCTGGCCCAGGCTGACCACGCCCCTCAGCCTCCCGCTAGGAGAGCCAAACACCCGGGACAGGGGGGGCCAGTCCTGACCCACCTCCTTGGCCGGGGGCGGGGTGGGGGTGAGCCCCGCGGTGATCGCAGGGCAGCAAGGGGCCCAGGCAGGGCCGGGGCGGCCCTCCGCGGAAACGCTGGGGCCCAGGCAGGGGCCGGGGCGGCCCTCCGCGGAAACGCTGGGGCCCCAGGCCCCGGAGGAACGTCTGGACGCCGGAACTCGTTCCTGGTTCCGCCGACACCAGGGCCAGCTGCTGAGAAACCGAAACTCGGCGGCCGGCCCCGCCCGCCGGCGGTCCCTACTCCCCTCTGTGTGCAGAGGGCGACAAGTGCCCCTGGCCAGGGTCCAGATCGGGGCAGACGAGGTCGGAGGTCCTCCGGCCGCTCTGCCTGACCACCGCGGGCCAGAGTGGAGCTGGAGGACCCATCCCGAGACCACGGGCGGGGAGCGGACGCTCTGGGCAACCGCGCGGGACCCGCCGCAGAGCCGAGCACCACCGGCGCGCGCTGACCGCCGCCGGGGACGCCACCCCCAGCCCAACCCCGGGAGCTCGCGGCGCTGCACCCGCAGAGGGGCGGCTGTGCCCAGCAGAGCGCACAGAGGCCACGGCGGCCGTGGTGACCACAGGCGGTCGGGCTGCGGGACCCGCTCACGGACCGCGGCCCCGCCTGGGGCTCTGAGGACAGCCACGTTCCGACCCCGACCCCTGACGTCACGCGCGCACGGCTCCGACGTCACGCACACACAGACCCGGTCCGGCCGCGGTCCCAGGGCTAGCCCCGCTTTCCGCAGCCTGTCCTAGGCCGGAGTCTCGGGGGCCCCCGGCGCGGCCGAGGGGGGCCTCTGCCCCCGGGGGCCCGGAGCCTCCCCGGGCCGCACCTGGTGCGCGCCGGGCCGGGCCGCCCGGAGCTCCCCCGCGTCCTCGTCCTCCGCGTCGTCGCGCCCCGCGTCCTCGTCCTCCTCGTCCCCCGCGTCCTCCTCGTCGTCTTCCCAGGTGGAGTCGCAGTCGGGGTCGTCCATGCTCGGCGGCGGCGGGGCCCGCTCGGGCGGAAGCGAAAGTGAAAGCGGAGGAAGCGCGGGGGCGGGGCGGGGGGCGGCCCCGGGCCCGGCCCCGCCCTCGGGGACGCCCCTCGGAGGCGCGGGAATCCTCCGCCCGCCGCGACCCCGCGTGCCAGGGTAGCCCCGAAGGCGCTGTGCGGGGGCTGGGGGGAGGCCGGACCTTGTGGGCTGCGCGCCGCGGGTGTCGGAGCCGCCGCACCGCGCCGCACGCCCCCGCCCGGCCGCGGGTGTCGGAGTCCCCGCACCGCATCGCGTGCCCCCGCCGGACAGTTCCCGAGTGCGCACTCCAGGGAGCGGGTCTCAGAGGCGGGAGCGCCGGGAAAGGTCCGCCCACGCCGTCTCAGGGCCTCCGCGTGGTCGCGGTTCTCGTCACACCTGCGGACAGGTCACTCAAGTCCCCAGCCACTGCGGCCCCGGGCTTAACCTCTGACCTTGACTTCTGCTGGGCAGGTGAAATGGGAGCCGGGCGCGCGGGGCGGGCGGCTGGCCAGGCAAGGTGCAACTCTGGGATCCCGCCTCCTGGGTTTTCCAAGTTCAGGCAAAACCCAGGCTGGGCCGTGAGGACTGCTGCGTCACTGGCTGGGACCCCTGGCCGCCTGGGGCTGTGGCTACTGCAGCCGAGGGCCCCTGCCCATGGCACCTGTCACCGCAGCTGACCTCCTGTGGGAGCCGCCGCTCCTCCAGGACTCCCCGTGTGGCCAGGGCAGCGGGCTGGCCCCGAGCCTCAGCGGCCTGTTGGACGCTTCCCAGCTGAGGCCCAGCTGCCAAGTCAGTGCACAGGGGCCTCTGGTGGGGCACAGGTGGGTGCTGGGGCAGTCCCATGGGTCGGAGCGCATGTGGCCGTCTCGCCGGGCTCGTGGTGCTGCGTTCCCACAGCGTTGCTGGTGAGACGCTCCCTGGCCGGTGTGGGCACAGCACCTGCCACCTGTGAGGTGGGGCCGGGGCTGGGGGAGGCAGCAAGCAGGTGGCACACCTGGAAACACCGGCCCAGCACCAAGGACTGGAGCTCCGGCGGCTCCGGTTCGAATCCCCTTGTTGTCCTTGGCAGCAGGCTACAGGCGTGTGGCCAGGGCCTCACCCAAGCGGCCAATGCCGGTCAGCAGTCACCACTACTTGGGCAGCACCGGGGCCCAGTCTCCCTCCCGGCTGCGGCCACGCCCACCCCTCTGGCCCCTCCTGAACCCCCATCTGTATCCACCAGGAGACGGCCAGGGCCGGGAGATGCCGCAGTCCACGAGCGCTGGTTCAAGTCCGGGCGGCTCCACTCCCAACCCAGCTCCCTGATGCACCTGGGAAAGCAAGGGAGACCCGGACAAAGCTCCTGGCTCCAGCCTTGGCCCTTGTGGCCATTTGGGGAGTGAACCAGTGGACAGATCTGCCTCTAACTCTGGCTTTCAAATAACTTTTAGGGAAGCCTGCGTGGTACACGGGGTGCTCGCCAGGGGCCCCCACACAAAGCACACGGCAGCGCTGGCTCAGCTGAGGGTCAGCTGCCCCTGGGCCGCGTCTCCTGCCTCTACCTTCCAGTCCCGGCTGGCACCACCTGCACTGAGCCCAGGTATTCCTAAGCCCATCGCAGGCCGCACCCCGGCCAGGAGAGCGCGAGCACCTGTCCCAGGTGCATGTGAACCTGCCACAAGTCCCTGCACACAGCAGTGCCACGGGACCTGCCCGCAGGGGCCCAGGAGGGCTGCCCACCCGTCCAGCCAGGCCGGCCTCTTGGGGTGTGTGGGCAACCTCTGCTTGCAGAAACTGGATGCTGGGACCAGTGCTGTGGTCACCTGCAGGGCTGGCACCCACACGGGCACAGGTTCAAGTCCTGGCTGCTCCACTTGCAACCCAGCTCCCTGCTGTGACCTGGGACAGCAGTGGAAGACGGCCCGCGTGCCTCAGCCCCTGCAGGCAGCTCCAGGCTTCGGCCCAGCCAGCTGCACTGCCCTCTGGGGGGCGAAGCGGCGTGCGCCCGGCACCAGTCCATCCTTAGAAAACCCGCGCGAAGGGACCAGGGTTGAAACGTGATGGGGTGGGCACATTCGGAGAGCAGAGCAGGTGCTGGGTGGCGAGCACGCGCCCGGGCCGACTCCTGCAAGGCCCAGCTCGCTTAGATCACAGAGCTGGCCGCAGAGCTAGCCCAAGGCAGGTGGGGGAAGGGGGGGCTGGCTTTGTGCAGGGGACCCCTCCCCTCCCTCTGCAGTCCAGGGCCGGGTGGGCGTGGCCAGGGTAGGGCAGCCATGCATCTTGGGCCCTGGCTCTGGCTTGGGGGGGGTCAGGGGGCACAGGGTGCTGCGTGCGCGTTAGGGAAGCAGCTGCCAGCCCGACATCGCCCGGAAAGTGACCCGGAGCCGCCAGTCCCTCCCCACAGCAGGCCCGGCTCGGCCGCCTCGGTGGGTGCTGTGGGGTCAGTGCAGGAGAGAACCCAGCACCGCAGACCCGAGGCAGAGGTGGGGGGCGGTGCCGGAGCGGAACCCGGGAGGCCGCCCAGCCCCACACTCCTCCTCTCTCCCTGCTGCAGACACAGTAACAATGTAGCGAGCGCCCGCAGGAGGTCACCCACGCGAGTTCCTGCTGGAGGAAAGGCCACTGGCTGTGAACACGCCCCTCTCTGCTTTAATGTGCAGCAATCAAAGGAAAAGAAATTTCATCCCAGGGCGGGGGCGCCGGCCTGCCCTGCCCCGCCCCGCCCCGCCCCGCCCCCCGCTCCCCGCCGGGCGCTGTGCGAGGCTGCTGGCTCCCGCCGCCGTGTGCTTTCACGGAAAACCCTAGTAAAACAGGCTTATGAAATTTAAATAGTGAGACGCCCACCCGACCGCGCGCCACTGCGGGGCGGGGCGGGGGCAGAAGGCCTCGTCCTAGGCCCCAGGTGGCCAGGGCGGCCATCCGCGCAGGCCCCGGGGCGGGCTCGGGGCCTCAGACGGCAGCGGGGCGCGGAGCTGTCCTCCTGGCTCGCCAAGTCCAGGTCTGCCCCGGGCCCAGGCCGCTGCCACGGCCCACCCGTGCTGGACGCTGGACCGAGCTGCGTGTGTCCAGCCTGTGGACATGGCGGGCCCACCTGGGCTTCCCACTGCTGGCCGCCGGCACTCGGCCCTCGACGGCCGCGGCTCCTCACCGGCTCCGGCTGCCCCCGGGCTGGGGCCTATGTGCGGCGGCGCTTGGCGGCGCTGGGGCTGGAGGGGTTGCTGTTGGCGGTCAGGACCTTGTCGGTGACCCGGCTGCGCTTCCGCTTGTCCGCCCCCTCCTTGCAGCCCAGCTCCGAGTTCTTCTCTCTGTCTTTGCCGGGCTTTTCTGTGGCTTTGCCCAAGCTCCCTGATGAGAAAACTGAGAACAAAACCACTCAGCTGAGCACCCAGCCGGGAGCTCGGCCGGCCGCCCGTCAGCTGCAAAAGTCGGGTTCTGCGCACCTGACCCTCGGTGCCCTCTTGGGCTGGGAGCCCGGGCCGTGGGCTCCAGGGGTGTGTCCAGCCTGAAGGCCAGCGCAGCCAGCACCCTGCGCTCAGGGACGGCCAGGACCCATCCTGCGGCGCGGGGGACCAGCAGGGCCCTGTGCGCCGCAGCACCCCGCATCTCGCCGCCGGCCCCGCCCCCGCGCGCAGTCCCCCCCCTCCGCCGGCCCCGCCCCGGCCCCGCCCCCGCGCGCAGTCCCCCCCCTCCGCCGGCCCCCCCCCTCCGCCGGCCCCGCCCCGCGCTCACCATCGTCGGCCCCGCCGTGGGGGTCCAGGTCCTCCTTCATCTCCTCCTTGGTTTCCTCTTCCATGATCACTTTGCCTGCGGAGGAGGCGGCACCGTGGGACACCCGCTGTGCCGGCCACGCGGGCCTCGGCTGCCCAGCCCTGCCCGACTCTCACCTTCCCGGACCTCCTGAATGATCTCCTCCGGGAGCACGAAGTTCCTCTCGGGATTCGGGAACGGAAGGATCTCCGACTCGTGCTGACGTCAGGCACGGCAAAGGAACACGGGGTTTCAGCAAGTCCTGGAAGGCGAACTGGAGCCGCGGGCGCTGCTCCTGGGCCAGCACCTGGGCCGTGAGCGCGCCCTGGCCCCGGCCTCCCAGGCTCCTCTGGCCGCTGCAGCCACGAGGGGAACCCCCAGGCACGACGCAGGTGCCGCAGGGCGGCTGCGCGCTCCCTCGGGCGCCGGGCGGCAGGCGCCTTCCTCACCCACAGCCGCGGGAGCCCCGAGTCCGGCTGGGAGGCACAGGTGCTGCCCCCCCCCCCGCCCCGCACAGCCGCGGGAGCCCCAAGTCCGGCTGGGAGGCACAGGTGCGGCCCCCCCCACCCCGCACAGCCGCGGGAGCCCCAAGTCCGGCTGGGAGGCACAGGTGCGGCCCCCCCCCCGCTCCGCACAGCCGCGGGAGCCCCGAGTCCGGCTGGGAGGCACAGGTGCGGCCCCCCCCCCGCCCCGCACAGCCGCGGGAGCCCCGAGTCCGGCTGGGAGGTACAGGTGCTGCCCCCCCCACCCCGCACAGCCGCGGGAGCCCCAAGTCCGGCTGGGAGGCACAGGTGCGGCCCCCCCCGCTCCGCACAGCCGCGGGAGCCCCAAGTCCGCCTGGGAGGCACAGGTGCTGCCCCCCCCGCCCCGCACAGCCGCGGGAGCCCCGAGTCCGCCTGGGAGGCACAGGTGCGGCCCCTTCTCCCCCCCAGCCACCTGCTTCCCGGTGCAGTCAGCGCCTCTGAACTCCCAGACCCGACGCCCGCAGCCCTGCCCGGGGGGAGCCTGCCCCCCGCAGCAACACAGGTGAGGCCCGGGACCCCCAGGAGGTGGCCAGCAAGGCAGGCGTCCGCACGCCCCCTCCACCTCCTGGGGTCCCACGGGCCTGCCCCATCTGCGTGGCCCCGCGCAGCGGTCAGCTCACCAGGGCCTGCATGTCGTACATGGTGCTCAGGTGGTCCCAGATGACCTTGGAGGGCACCTGCCGTCCGATGTTCTGGCTGAACTTGTCCCGGATGCAGATCATGTGGAAGTGCCGGTTCACACCTGCGGGGGCGGCGGGCCGGGTGAGGGGGCTGGGGCTGGGCGGGGGCCCGGGGGGTGGGGGTGAAGAAGTCGCGGCCCCCCTCGGCGCTGAGGGCGTGGGAGAGCGCGGGGAGGGCGCAGAGGAGTGGGGGGCGGGGTGGGGAGCTGCGGGGTGCCGGCGTGGGAGCTGCGGGTCTCCGGGGACGGGGTGAGGGCGTGCGGGGTCGCGGGGGTCCCAGGCCCCGCCCCCGCCCTGACGGTTGCCCGCCCCGCCCCCACGCGCCAGGCCCGCGCTCACCGACGGGCTTGTGGCCCAGCATGGCGTGGAAGAGGCACACTTCCACCTCGGGGCTCCACACCACCGTCTCCTCCGCCGGGCTCGTGGCCGCCTCGCCGGGGCCCTTGTCACCCGGGGCGCCCCCGCCGCCCACCTCGGCCTCCCCCATGGCCGCCCGGCGACAAGCCCCCCGGAGGGCGCGGGCACGGCCCGGGCTCCGCGCAGGCGCAGTCACGGGCCGCTCGGGCGCGCGCGCCGGCGACGGCGCAGGCGCAGCTGCGGTCGGGGGGGGGCGCGCTGTGGCGGCCCCTGGCGGCGGCCCCTGGCGGCGCGGGCCCGAACGGAACCTGCCCGCAGAGGCAGCCCGCGGCTCGGACCCGGGGCCGAGGCCCGGGGGTGGGTGGGGCCCGAGTCCGCGCAAAGGCGGGAGGCGGGCGCGGCTGCTATGGGTGGGGGTCTCCCAGGTCTCTGTCCGACTCCGTGGCCCCAGCAGCGCCGCCCGGACACATCCCCCCGACTCGCGTCGGACCCAAGTTAGCAGCTCGGCGGCGCCGCTCGACCCCCGCCGGCGCCCCCGGGCCCAGGGCGGGGCCTGCAGCGGGACCACCAGGGTGGTGTCAGCCCCGGCTCTGCCGCCGCGGGTCCCGCGGGGCTGCCTGGGGGTCTCAGCCCACTCCCCGGCGGGCCGGGGCGGAGTGGGTCGTGGGAGGGGCCCGGGGGCGGAGTCAACGGGGGCGGGGCGGACCCATAGTGGGCGGAGTCTGCGCGAGGCGGGAATCCCGCGTGCCCTCCGGCGCAGTCGGTCGTGGGCGGAGCCAGGGAGGGGCGGAGTTGGCGGGGCCTGGGCGGAGCGAGGCCGCCGACTGGACCGCGTCCGGGGACCGGCTCCCAGAGGCGCCCGAAGGAGTCCGCACGGATCGTGGCTCCGCCCCCACCCCGCCTTCTCCCCGCGCGCCACGCCCACGCGGCGCACACGTGCGTCTGTGCACGGCGCTGCAGGCCGGGGAGCGTTTCGGGCTCTGCGGCGTCTCGGCTGAGACCCCCGGCGAGGCCCCGCGCGCGTCCGGTCTCGGCGTCGTCCCCGTGCGGTGGGGCGAAGGGCAGCCCGCCCTAGGGGGTTAGGAGGGGCTCGCGCCCTCGGGACGGCGGCTCTGGGCTCGGGCTCAGCGCCCATCCCAGCTGCCCGGACCACCAGTCGTCACAGGAGCCCGAGGCGGGTGCTCCTCGGCCGGGTCCCCGTGGGGGTCTGAGCGCCCGCGGGCGGCGGCCTCACCGTCTTGGCCCCCCATCCCTGCCCGCTCCCCCGGGCTGCCCCTGGCCCTGAGGTCATCTCCACGCTGGTGCGCCTGCCCGGTGAGCCCTGCCCCGACCCGCGCTCCACCGCAGACGCCGGCAGGGTGCTTCGGGCCGAGGGCAGCGCCTCGCTCTCTCCCGGGCATCTTGTGGGCAAACTGCTGGTGCCGGCTCCCGGCCCGGTCTCCACGGGGCACAACCTGGGCGGCTGCGGGACGCAGCTCTTTGAGAGGCAGAGTTAGAGAGAGAGAGGGAGAGAGGTCTTCCACCGCTGGTTCACTCCCCAGACGGCAGCTGGGCTGATCCAAAGCCAGGAGCCAGGAAACTTCCGGGTCTCCCACGTGGGTGCAGGGGCCAAGCACATGGGCCATCTTCTGCCTTCCCAGGCCACAGCAGGGAGCTGGATCAGAAGAGCAGCAGCCAGGACTCGAACCAGTGCCCATGTGGGTGCCGGCACCGCAGGCACAGGCTTAGCCTATTATGCCACAGAGCCAGGCCCAGGAAGCCTTCACATCTTTGTTTAAAAACTGAAACGCCCTCAGTAGACGGACTGCGTGTCCAGGCTGAGGCCGGGAGTGGGGTGCTGGGCAGTGGCGTCCTCCATGGTGGGGAAGGGGAGGGCGCCACGCAGCTGCTGTCCCTCCCCCGCCTGCCGTGTGCCTGGCCTGGGTCCCTTCCCGAGGGGGCGCACAGCCTGGGGACCGGGAAGGCCTGGAGGTGGGCGGAGCCAGCCGAGACCCAGGCTTTTCCCTGGAGTTCCCTAGACTGGGAAGAGGGGATGGGCAGGGGCCGCCCCAGTCAACAGGCCCAGGTGTCCCCCCCCCATCTTGACGGCGGGGGCGGGCGAGGCGGCTTCAGCAGCTCCTAGAGGGAGGGCGGGCGGGCGGGCGGGGCGGTGAGCCTGACCAAGCAGACACTTGCGGGAGGCAGAAGGGAGGCCCGGGTCAGGCCGGCCTTGGGGGTTGGGGTGCACACCTGCGTGGGGCGGGGCAGGAATAACAGGATGCCCAGAGCGGGAGCTGAAGCAGATGGCAGGGCCGAGGGCAGCAGCAGCCTCTCGGGCCAGGAGGCTGAGACAGGAAGTAGGCTGCCGTGGCGCACTCCCCTGCTCCTCACGCTGGACTGGTGACAGCCGTCCAATGTGCGCCTTCCCTGCAGGGCCAGGGCGGGCTTCCTGGCTGGGTCTGCCCAGCCTCCCAGGAAGGACCCAGCACGTAAGGGGGCAGTGGCCATCTGTTGATGGACTAACTGACCAACTAAGGGGTAAATGACCTCTCCGCTCCTGGACCCCAGGAGTGGGGGCTCTGGGTTTGGCTCTGGGTTCTGACCAAGTGGTGGCCCCCAGTCTGACAGCACCGAGTAGTAAACCCTTGGGAAGAATTTTCACAATTTACGCTGAGAAAGCCCTTTTTCCTGGAGGGGGAGGGGGAGAGAGAAAAGCCTGGGAGAACCAGACCGATTCCCTTAAAAACCCCGGTCTGAACGAAGCCCGTGCCCAGCACTCGGCTCTGCTGAGCCGCCCGCCCGGGCTCAGGTGCAGCCGCTCCACTTAACCACGTGACCTTGCTGTCCCCGGTCTGAGGGACTGGGCGCTCTCTGTCCCGTCCACTCTGATGGCCGCCCTGCTCCAATAAGCCTTGCTACCTTGCAACCTTGCTGACCACGGCCCTCACGCCCGAATTCTGTCTCCGCTGGCGTGGCCACGGCTGCGCGGACCTCGGAGCTGGCCCTGGGGAGTCGCTGGGCCTGCAGGGGGCGTCTCCCACCCACTGAATGGACCCAGGAGCCGTTCCTGGTCTCCAGGAGGGTGGCCCGCACAGTGGGAGGGGCCGTCCTTGCCATCTAGCGGACAAAACAGTTCTGAGGACGGGGGTGGGGGGCGTCCATCCCCGCCCAGTGGCACGGCTCGCGGGCAGCTCTGTTGACGGGGGTGGGGGGGAGCATCCATCCCCGCCCAGTGGCACGGCTCGCGGGCAGCTCTGTTGACGGCAGTGCCCTCTGTTGTTGTCGCCTCCATGTCACCCACAGGGCCAGGTCACCGAGATGGGGGCAGGTGCAGGATGCTGGGGCCAGCGTCGCCCCTGACTGGCCGTGGGGGCTTCGGCTGTGTTTAGGAGTTGCCAGATTTAACATAAACTTCCGGCTGCCAAGTTGAATCGGAATTTCAGGTGACCCTGGAGAATTCCGGGTGTGAGCGCCCCGCGCTGGCGCTCTGCCCTTGGCCCGGGCTCTCGCTTCTTTCTCCCCAGCTGGCGCCTGGCCAGCAGCTTGATTGGCCGCTAAGCCGCGGTCCCACGGCTGCAGGAAGCAGGCCAGGGCAGCCCCTCCCACGCTGCTCCTCAGGGAGGAGTCAGGCGTGGGGCCCTGGGGAGACACAGGCCCCCTCTGCTCGCTGCTTGTGTGGGTGCAGGGCCACCCCAGACTGCCTTGGGGGTCTGTGCTGCCCGCGGCCTGGAACCGGCTCAGGCCTGTGGGCCGGGCGGGAAGAGGAGGAGCCTCAAGCCCAGGGCACTGGTGAGAAACAGGTGCATGCGTGTGTGCACACAACATGAACACGTGTGCTCGCAGCATGAACACCTGTGTGCACGATTAATACACACGTGCAGCATGAACACACGTGTCCACAGCATGAACATGCTGAGGTGCGGACGCGTGCAGAGCCCAGCGCCTCTCAACGCGGATCTGTCCCGGCTGGCCCAGGCCCTCTCCTTCCTCGTGGGGCAGTGGTCGAGCTGGGGGTGGAGCAGGCGCCCGTGGCTGTCCACTCTGCAACATCGGTCCTTCTGCGTGCTGGGGGGGGGCTGCGGCAAACCGCGAGGGTGAGGGGCACCTGCCCACGCAGAAGCCCCAGTGGGTCCTGGCCTGGCCCTGGTGAGGCAGAGCTGCAACCCAGAGCCCGGGTCGCCATGGCGATCAGCCCTGACATGGCCTCGCCTGGACCGTGCGGCATGACCACGCGGGCTCACCAGGAAGGGCGGGGAAGGGGCCGACACCGCCTCTGTCTGCCTGCCCGGGTCAGCGCGGGAATCCCGGGGATTCCTGTGTCCTGAAGCCTCCGGGAACTGAGCCTGTTGCGGGGGGTGGGGGCCACGAGGCCGGCAGGAACAGCCCTCGAGCTGCGTCCTGGAGACTCGCTGGCCTGGCCCGCTCCACCCCCCTCCCCGCTCCAGCTGCGGCTACGACTGTGCCCGGACCCCACTGGGCCTCTTTTGCCCCGGAGTCCACTGGGGCTGTCAGTGGCGTCAAGAGCGGGGTCACCAGCGGGGCTGTCAGGTTTCAGTCCAGGCTCGCAGGCCGAGGGTCCTCCCTGGCTGCCCTCCCGGGGTCTGTCCCCTTGCTGCCCAGTCTCAGTGAGGGCATTAGGACCCAGCCGCCTGCCTCCCCCGTGCTGGGCCACGCAGGGGAAGCCTCTCTGCGCTGTGGTTTCCACAGAAGACGAAAATTATGAGCGCTTGTCACGTTTTCCCCAAAGCCCGACACATCACCTCCCCCATGAAGCTGTCAAAGACGAGTCTGCTGCGGGGAGCAGCAAACAATTGGCGGGGAGCAGGCCCCGCCCACGCGTCAGGCCCCGCCCACTCCGCCTCCGCCTCCCCCCAGGGCCAGGCTAGGGCCACCGCTGCCCCCTCGCCCCCGACCCAGGGCCCCAGCGTGTAGCACAGTCAGAGCGGAACGCGGGTGCCTGCAGCCGGCGCGCTGGTGCCCCCAGCAGCGTCCTCGCGTGTCCAAGTGCAGGAAATAAACTCCGACCCCAGCGCTGGAGGCGTCGTTGTCACAGAAACGCGCACGCGGCAGGGGATGGCACCCCCCACCCCGGCCGCCCACGGGCAGCGCCCGGCTCGGAAGCTGGGCTGCGCGTCATTCTTGATGGACACCCCAACGAGCGGGCAGGCCCACCCTCCTCCTAGCCGGACGGCAGATCCAGCGCCTGCCGAGCCCTGGGGGGCG